GGCCCTGAAGAACATTAATTAGCACTCCCCTGTGGGGCAAGTTGGGCGGGCTCCCATCGGGCGTATCCTAAAAACGAAGACTGACTGCAAATGACAGCAGTGCCCTTTATCTTGATTGTTGTTTCAAACAACAGGATCCCACATGCTTCAAATATCCTCCTGTGTGCTTGATTTTCTAAACTTTGCAAGTATCGGAAAAAAAGGGCACAAAGGCTCCGGTGTTGCTGCCTTTATTTGCAATACGCGGAAAATCTCTGGCACATCCCTTCCCTGGTTCACTAATAAACCAGTGAAGCGACCTAACAAGGGGCTCCATATGTCCAACCAAACATGACCCACTGAAAAAATGAAGTTGGCAACAGTCAAGCACTGAAAGGGAAGACCAATACAAGGAAACTGAATTGAACTTGGCAAGCAAATGGTGCTGTTTAAATCATGCCAAACACAGGAAACTATGGTGTCTTGAAAAAAAACCCACAACATATCTCCAAATGTCGGGGGGGGGGGGGTGGTGTTTTGTTTTTTCTTTCGGTCTCCCTTTGACTCCTCCCCAGAGAAAAAAAAAAGCAAATCGGCATAAACAAGCCCACATGTTCCATGGTCAAAAATCCTACATCAGTCATATATTGTTGTCCAAGCACCAAGATCGGAAATCTAGCTATTTAGATGGCGACTTCGGGTCCGATTTGTTTAGAATCTTTATTGGGGGGAGGGGGGCAGAGGCGCTGTGACCACAAGTTTCGAAGCATGTATCTGATGCGTGTGTGTCAATGACGTTGAACAGTGCAACGGGTGTGGTTTTTGAAGGTAAGACACGATCGAACACCATGTAGATGGCTATCTTCCGATCTTGAAGCTGCTGGCCAAAATAAGTCTCCTGAAAAGCACGCAAACGACAAAGGCCATTCTCTCACTCCAATCTCCCGTCCCCCCAAAACAAAAACAGCAAAAACAAACAAAAGCAAAGTCCCATCTTGGCTGTGCGGCGCACCTTGCCTAGAAAGGCCTATCAGGGGTAGCAAGAAGGAATATGTTGACCATATAAGCATGTCTCGCTTGCAGGGAACCCTCCGATTTTGGGGTGGTTTCCCTTTGGCTTTTCCTGAATGGAGGGTGTCAAACACTACACACACCATTGGAATGAGTGCCCCGAGGCGCAAGGAAACGCCCGGCAGAGTGGGGGGAGCAGTCCACCGACGTGCTGCTTTCAGTGATGAGGCCACAGGACTCCTGAGCGTTTCGCCGCTGGACCACAGAAACCCATGTTGGTCAATCTATCTAGAAATTGCACTTCTCTGTTTATGCATCTATGTACTTGTTGTTCTTTGATTTGGTGGCTTTTCTTACAGCGCTTACTTGTTCAAACAAAACAGTACTGGAAGAAACATGAGAGAACCTTATGAAAGGAAGCTTATATATATATATACACAATCATGGACGTCGCAACCCCTCCGGAACGTGAGGTCGCTATAAGTTGCCCAGACTTGCGTGACCCTAAATGGGTTCTAACAAATGACTTCCCGGCAAATGCGCGAAACACATGATTATCCTTTGGCGCAAGCGATTCCACTCGCTCATTAGAACCTGGCCTGGCCGCCCGCTCGGGCGGTACCAAGGCTATGACTTGGCAAACTTCTTGCGGGTTTGCCACGGCCTTCTTGCCAGGGCCATGACTCAGGGGAGAGGTTGCTGAAGAAGATTCGCTGTGAGCAGGGTTGAATGCCCTTCGCTGTTCGGCCGGTGAACACTTGGTGAACACCCCGCGCAAAAGTCGCACAAGTATGTCACGTGCAAAAGTTGCTTTGGACGGTGATGTCAGTCGACTTCAACGCAGTTCCACTGCGTGTTTCAATGTTAGTGCTATTGGCGAAAGCCAAACTATACTTGAATATCTTAAGTGGTTGTACGATGCTTCCATGTCTGAATGTCAAGCTTTGAATATTTTACTATTCTTCCAGCGCCCGTGTTCTGGGTGGGTGTCTTTGACCACACATTTTGCGCAAATCGAGGGACCGCCACAGAATGCAACGACCTTCATAAATTTAATCCCCTAATTTTGTTCTGAGGAGGTCGGATGGCAGGGTGGTGCTTTCAGGGAAGTTTGGCATACCTCCAACAGGAAGCCGACATCAAATTTCAGAAGATCACCCTCTCCCCTGCAGATTCACATGACACTAAAAAGGGGGTCCCTCCAAAACCAGTTTCCTCTAGGAATGACGGCTTTTGGAGTAAAGGTGACAACGCTGGCTTGGGGGGGTCGGGGGGGGCGGGGGCTGGCAACTCTGTGGACCACGCTGGATTTACTATGATAAGCAGAGGGATATCTTGCTCCTTCCAATCTGCGCAAACGACCAGCTGGTGCAGCAGCCGGAATGGTGGGGCGATCCCAAGGGCCCTTCAGAACTGAACGGTGGATCGCTAGAGAAGTCCAACTTTATGTCCGAAGAAAAGGGCTTCCCATAAAGTACGCGTCAGCTTCAGCTTCCCCTTTTACAATGCTGAACAGTGCAAGGGCAAGCCGTGTTCCTTGCACTTCCTCTTTTGGCAGCTGTAGACATCACCTGTTGTGCCATTTTGAGCTTCCTTGTGGGTGATGCTTAAAAAGCATAGGTTGCTGAGACCCCCTCCGGACAACCCCCCCCAAAAAAAAAAGCAACGATCCGAACATCTTCGGGTGCCCATCGCCAAAGAGGATCCCGGGGTGAACTAAGGCCTTGGACAATGCCCAAAATGAGACTGGGAGAACAGCAGGGACCCCACAGGCGGCACTCTTAAACAGCCATTGGAAGCTGAAGGTCATGGACTCCTGCCACCCATGGGCGCCTTGCAAACAGGGCTCAAATTTCTGGGTCCCGATGGCGGAAGGGGAGCACCGCCCCCTTCAATCATTTCGCTGGGCGTGGTGGAGGAATGTCGCACTCAAATGGACACCAAAGCCCCCCCCCTCTAAACCTCAGCCAAGTTGCTGAAGTGGCCGGAGCTGCTGAGGTGTCGGTGTTGGTGAGGAACACCTGGCAGGACAGAACTAACGAGGATGTGTCAACATAGGGCACGGGGTACCCTCAACACACCCAACCCTTGCGCCACTCATTCTTCGTCCAGCTGACTGGGCGACTGATTAGGCGGGCTCTGGCATCAACTCAGGGCTATCTATATTTCGCCCTATTGCGCAGGAAACTCATCCAGACGTGGCATTCACAAGGTGATGTTTAACCGAGCGGACAAAGAACAAGTAGGAATCAACCACTGTCCAACCCCTCCCGAAGGTCGTTCATTGACTTGACACCCGTTCGATCTTTGCATTCATGGGCCCAAAGATGGGTTAGAGCATCCGGTGACCTTGGGCCCATCGTGTGCGGCAGGCGAGTGGTACGTCCACACAACGGGCCAGCTATGACGAAACGATCTGCCTTGCAGGCTAAGGCCCCCCTACAAATTCAAGACTCCCCTAAAAAGCTCAAAGAACCAAAGCCAGCTGCATGAGAGTAAGGGGCTAATTGCTTCCAAATGTAAACACAATCAATTGCAAGAAAAGGAGACCGTAAGGCTGGAAGTCTGACGTGGAGGTACTGTAGCTGCCACATCTGTCTGTTCCCCTGTGCTAACCCGCAAAGGAAATATGATTTCTACAGTTCATAAACTTGGTGGCAGAAATGCGCTGGTGTGTCAAAGCCAGTGTCGAGCCTTTTGGAGATAAACGGCGCTGCACGAAGCTAACATCAAGCCGTGGAATGGGTTCCTTAAATTGGCGAGCCCCACAAATAGCAGGCTTCCCCTCATGGGGAACAGATGGGAAAAGCGGCCTTGCTTGACAAAGGACTCCAACATTTTGTGGCGGCCCACAAACTGCAAAGACCTGACACTTCTTGAGCCCAAGCATCTTGTTCAACGAATTTGGAAACACAGGGCCAGCTGAGACAGCTAGATTCCTAGTTGCCCGACAGTTTCCCTTAGAGAAAAAGGACTTGCCTTAACAACACCAGAGAGGAAGCGCACCCAAACCTGGTCCAAAAGCCCAACCCTTAATTGCCGAGGTTTGGATTGTGGCCCAACAGGTGTTTGCCCATTTTTATGCTTCCAATTGGGTTTCCCTAGCCCCCAGTGGCTAGGACCAAAAGACCAGGCTTCGACTGTAGCCCGCCTCCACGCGGTTTCCGGGCGTCACTACAGCCGAGACGTTGCCCAAGGACTGGGCGGAACCCAGGTCGAAGTACACCGCCGACCCGTCCCTGGCGGGAACATCATGACTGCATCAACCTTCCACAATCCCTCAATTTGGGATTAGTCATCCACTGTACTTCCCGAAATAAAGGAAACTGAGACGCTCACTGGGGTAGGTGACCCATTCACTGTTGGTTCTAGAAAGGTGGTTGTAAAGATTCATTCCTCGGCCTCTCTCTACTACTACAACCCCTATGAAACAAGGTAGGAGCCACCTGCTAAAATGGCCAGCAGATGCTTTGGCCGCTGCTCAGGGGTGCCAAGCAGTTCATCAGGGGTGTCCTATCGTTGCTCCCAGGGTCAGGACAAACGAACAAACAAGCAAGCCAGCAAACAAAGAAACAAACAAACAAACAAACAAACAAACAAACAAGCAAGCAAGCAAGCAAGCAAGCAAGCAAGCGAGGAGCAAGCAAGCAAGCAAGCAAGCAAGCAAGCAAGCAAGCAAGCAAGCAAGCAAGCAAGCAAGCAAGCAAGCAAGCAAGCAAGCAAGCAAGCAAGCAATCAAGCAAGCAAGCAAGCAAGCAAGCATGTTTATGTTCAGGCGTCATTCCGTGGCCCACCCAAACACAGGTCCACTTAAGGGAAAACATCCTTGGACTAAATGGCCATGTCGCTGCAATGTGTTGCCATTCTTTTTTTGAGGGGCCCTATCTTTGGCAACACCCTCTTGCAACACACGGTACTGAAGCATGCCAGGATGGCTGCTTGAAACACTTGGCTTCCACCGCCTTCTTTGCCAGCGGAGCGATGGTGGTCTGGGCGCAGGAACAAACACTTCAGCGGCAAGAAGCCAAAGGAGCCTGAAGCAACCGAGGAAAGTGCTGGTTAACTGTCTACGACGTAGGCAATTCTAGTCATGCACTCGAGCTAGGCTCCAGTCATTGGAAGGTTGCGTTGGGTGGTTCATGCGATTCAATCACCAAGCTCCGACCCAGTTGGTTCCTATGCTCTCCGAGCTTCTTGTTGCGCCTGAAAACTCCCTGTGCTCTTTAATATCACCTCGAGACAACATAATTCTTTTTATATATATATATATATTATTACTTTTTTTAAACAGTGATGATCAAACCTGTCCAACTCACAAACACAAAGTGGTATATACTGTTGTTAACCCCTTAGCCTTGCCACCGTACCGTGTGTTGCTAATACATTGTTCTTGTTGTTTTACAACAAAAGCGGCTGGGGTGAACTCCATTTTGAGCGGTGGACCCCTCAATTACAAATGGCGAAGGGTGACTACGTCAAGTTGCTGTTGTTCAAGGGAAAATTAAGGAAAACCAAACCGACAAGTTGAACACGTTGGTGAAGTCTGGCAATTTTCAGAGAGGTCAACGGCGACAAACAAGCAAAACGGCTCTAGCCATTTAATTTTGTTAACCCACCGGACACGTATTCAACTCCAACTGACGAGGAATTTAAAGCAAGAGTTGTCCCAAGTCGGATTGCTGAACGCAAGCTTGCAGAAAAGAAAAGCAAGTCCGCAGGTTTCTCGCACCCATGAGCCGAAACCACAAGGAGTAACATGGAGTTGTTGTTCTTTTCTTTTCTTTAAGTCGAATGTTCGCGACAGGCCTGAGGGCTCGAACCGGCTTGGGACGCCTCCATTGCCTTTCCAACCCTTGGTATGTTAGCAACTGTTTTCTTTGCAGCTCGCGCAGTGCAATCGAGCAGGACCCCAAAAGCAACAAACTGAAAATGCATACCAAACACATGAGTTGACAAATCTGTGTTGTCCACAATCCCTGCTGCGAAAATCCATTTGACAGACCAGGATCGCACCAAAATTGACTTCTTCAGCCTTCGAGACTGGCGAGCTATGCCGAGTTGCCGTCTTCCTGTGCATCTTCATCTGAGCCAGGTGGATCAGGACCAATGGCTTCTTACTTGGCTACACTCCCTGAGTGGGTTGGCCAAACAAGTCCCCACGTGTTTATTACCAAAATGGTCTTCCCAACGAGTAAAGTCCAGCAACTCAGGAAGTGAGATAATTGTCCACTAGTCAAGGAGAACAAAGCAGAAGGCTACCCTTCTTGGGTAAGTCCAGCATTCAACAAATGGTTTAGCAAACGCTCGTTAGGGTTGTGGATAAGCCAGTCAATGCTGAGCCAGCCACAATGGCGCGCTTGAACTTGTAGAAAACCCTGACCCGTACCGTCCCTTTGGCAACAGCATACAATGGCGAGTGGGGAGCATTGCTCATATCTATGCCACGACCTGAATAATGGCACCTTCTGGGCTTACTATAACACCCGCATGTACTCCCTGTTACTTTCTCAATGACTACGCGGCCAAAGGACGCGCTTGATTGAAATCAAGACGAAATGGACAAATGTTGCCGCTAGACATCTGGGCCTTTGCCACAATCATTCCATCCCAAGCAAGCATAGCACTCACAACGGTGTGTCTGTGCCACTCTCCCACAAACAACTTTGCATGATGCAAAGCCTTCCCTGGTAGACTTTCAATATGGGTCCAGCATCAACTCAACTTGGGTTCCCGCTTAGGGCCCATGGTTGAAGCGCATTGCGCCCAACCCTACATTTCTTGTGACACTCCTGTTTGCCATGGCCAACGTTGTTCCCCATCTGTGTTGACGACCCTGCCTTCTGACCACAAGCAGTCGCGCTTTGTGAACAAAGGTCATTGGGGATTTGAGTAACCCTCTCAGACTACAGTGGATCCTTCCTCTGAATGGACACCCAGGCTTGAGTTCACGTCTGGTGGATTTCTTTGGAACATACCTAAGTTCTTCTGCGCCGATGACTAGCTCATCTTACCCCCGGGTGCAATGGAGTTGGGTTTGCTCCTAAGGGCGAGCTCCAAATGAGCCGCCGCCAAAATCCTTCGTTCTAAAGACTCACCTTCGTTTGGGCGGGTTCTTGGTCAAGTCATTTCGTAGACTCCTCCCGTACTCAGAATGTTCTCCTATTCTTTCGGTAGTCTTCCTGGAGTCTTCGCGTAGTCTCCGGTAGGCTCCCCGTAGTCTTCTGGTTACTATGGTTACTTATCATCTATCGTAACTCAAAAGAGCCACCATTGGCAAAAACATGTTTTTGTGAAGAAGGGGTTCGGTAAGAATTTGTCAAGCAATGACTTGTAGAAACAAGCCCTAAGGCTTCGTTTGGCCTCCGTTTCAAGACCTGCTCGCCGCCTTGCAAAAGCCGCCAACTGCACATTGAGAAGCCTTCGTGTCAAATACTCGCCTCCCGATTCCACTCCAATACATATCCCTTGTACAAACCGTTTTAGTGGTAGCTCAGATTATTGTTGATTTTCCTTCGGCTAGCTTTAACGCACTCCCCCCCCCAAAAAAAAGAAGTAGTCATGCAGAATAAACTGCATTTTCTTATACGTCAAAGTAGGGGGACCCTCAAAATGGCTGTTGTCCTTTTTGCTCTCCTTTAAACCAACCTAACAAGGGTATCCTCAAACGACACGCAGACACACACACACACACACATGTCAGGAACAAAGTTGTTTCCACGTTGAACCCGCGCCTTGCAGGGGCAGCTACCAGGGCCCTTGGTGGGAGTCCCCGAAGTGGGCGCTGCATCCTGCGCGAATCCACTTGGTTCATCTCCCGCCAAAAAACTTCTCGCGTCCTAAAACACACCGTAAAACAATCCAAAATCAACCCCAATCCTATGTTGAGCCACTGCAACAACATACTTGTCGTAATTGAAAGCAACCCTCGGCCATCTTTCGTGAAAACGTTGCACTGTCACCTCTCCTTGCATTTGTGAGCCAGCCTGTAAGAGTGGAACCTAACACCCCTCGTTCATACCCGTCGCTTCCCTGGGTACTGATGCACTTGAGCATGAGTATATGGGGGTTGTCGAAAATTCTTGTTCCACGGCTTCCTTTTAGGACCCCTTGCGCCCGCCCTTGCATAGTGGTCTGCAGTGCCAGATCACTGTCACCATTTTTTGTGATGAGCGCTGACATGTGCCGGATGTCAAAAAGGGTGGAGTGCCAAAGCCAAGCTGTAACATTATGGGCTGGCCTGCATGCAGTGCAACTTAGGCAGGAGGTGACGGGGCCTTCAACACATCTGTTTGGTTCTGCCATGGCAATGAAGTAGCTTTTAATTTTGATATCTCGATTGTTTGTTAATGAGTAAGCCACAAATGCTCTTCGACACAGTTGTCCACCTTATTGATTTGTTTAGCTATCTCAATGTGCTTCAAATTATTCAAGCATGCTCTCAAATTATGTCCAAAATCTCGAACTCTCACCCCAAACCCTATCTCAAATTATCTCAAGTTATCTCAAATTATCTCAAACTATCTCAAATTATCTCAAACTCTCACCCCAAACCCTATCTCAAATTATCCCAAATTATCTCAGATTATCTCAAATTATCTCAAACTCTCACCCCACACCCTATCTCAAATTATCTCAAATTATCTCAAGCTATCTCAAATTATCTCAAACTCTCACCCCAAACCCTATCTCAAATTATCTCAAATTATCTCAAACTCTCACCCCAAACCCTATCTCAAATTATCTCAAATTATCTCAAACTCTCACCCCAAACCCTATCTCAAATTATTTCAAATTATCTCAAATTATCTCAAATTATCTCAAATCATCTCAAATCATCTCAAATCATCTCAAATCATCTCACATGCGCATGTAGCATGAAATGACCTGACATATATTGGGCTAACTTTCCCAACGCATCGCGCTTAACTGGGAACATATCAATGATGGGGACATTAATGGTGTCATAAACAATGTGCTAACATGCTAGAGTTACAGTAGTGCAATCCTGCTGGCTGGCTTGTGCTGGATCGTACGCTTCTAGCTGGCCAAAGTTGCAGCGCAGATCGTGGTCAGAGGATTTATACACACATAACTGCACACAACTCCCCAATTCGGAAAAACACTCGTTTCACATGGAAAATACCCACACTGAGGGGGTCCCCCTCTCCAGAAATAATAACAGTAGTAGTAGTAGTAGTGGTAATAACAGAAATAGTAGTAATAGTAGTAGTTGTAGTAGTAATCGTAGTAGTAGTAGTAGTAGCAGTAGCAGTAGTAAAAATAGTAGTAGTAGTGGTAATAGTAGTAGTAATAACAGTAGTAGTCGTAGTAGTAGTAGTAGTAATAATAGTAGTAATAGAAGTAGTAGTAATAGTAGTAGTTGTAGTAGTAATCGTAATAGTAGTAGTAGTACTAGTAGTAGTAGTAGTAGTAGTAGTAGTAGTACTAGATAGCAGTAGTAGCAGTAGCAGTAGTAGCAGTAGTAGCAATAGTAGTAGTAGTAGTAGTAGTAGTAGTAGTAGTCGTACTAGATAGCAGTAGTAGCAGTAGTCGTAGTAGTAATAATAAGAAAGACAGCACGTTAGTAGCGGCGGAAGCACAGGTCCCAGACCTAATTAGTACCACCTAAATACATACGTCCCGCCTGGAAGATGCGTGCGCCCGTTGTGTGTGTTTTCAGACTAGTTCAGACTGGCTGTTGAAGCCTTGCCTAGAATGCGGCCTTGTGAGACAGCTTGCGCTCGAAACCTGAAGTGATGACAGTGCTACTAGTATTACTGATTACACAGCTGAAAATTGACGCCTTGCCATGAGTCCAGTTACTGTCCTTCGTGCCTCAACGCGCAGGACCGCCGCCGCGCGATCGCCGCACGCGCGGCCGCCGCGCACGCGGATGCCGCGCGCGCGCGCTCGGGGCGTTATAGCAGTATAGTAGTAGCAGCAGCAGAAGCAGTAGTTTGCAATACTTTTGAATCATAATACTGCGTAGTAGTAGTGATAGCAGTAGTATTAGTAGTAGTAGTAGTAGTAGTAGTAGCAGTAGCAGTAGTAGTAGCAGCAGTATCTGTAGTAGTAGTAGTAGTAGTAGTAGTAGTCGTAGTAGTAGTAGTAGTAGTAGCAGTAGCAGTAGCAGTAGCATTCGTTGTAGCAGCAGGAATAGTACTAGTAGTGGCAGCACTTGCGCCCGCCCTTGCGCCTTCTTGCGCCTACGTCGTGTTTTCATATGTCTGGGATGATATTCCTTATGTCTATATTCCGCTATAGACTAAATACAAGAGACGGGGTTTTCCGACGACCCTCATATACCCTTTTCGGTGAGAGGATGCAGTATAAACACCAGCAAGCCTTACCCGAGGGGTATGTCCAAACCATCTGTCATCCTGCCTGTCCCGTGCAACGCATGCAGTTGTTGACCTTTCTTCTCGAGGCTCCAAACGTCGTCTTCCCAGTTGAGTCCGGTTGAGCCTCTATCCCAACAGCCCCTATGGTCCTTAGCTCGTCGCGAACTGAGCCTATTTGGGCAAAGACCCAATTTCAGCTCTTGCGGGAGTAAGAACAAACTTCAAAAAGTGGTGTAAATGACATTCCCTAAGCCGTAAGGCCGTAAGGGTCCAAGTTACTCATGAGCACTCGAAATGGGAAGTCACTTTAGCGGACCCAGTTTTGGAAAAACAAAAGGGAGTCAGACTCCAACGAACCTCCGGCCCCATTCGGTCCTCAGTGTTCCGAACGCTGTTGTCCGGGCAGGCAGCGTACTCGCACTCCCCAGTGCCGGACTCGGGGTTCAGCCGGACAGCAAACCAACGTTTAGAGGGGGAGTGAAACCAACTTTGAGGCTGGTCACAAGGGAAAGTTTGCAAAACATCAGTTTACCCCTAGCTGGGGGGAGTCGGAATGGATATTTAGAGCCTAGGACATGTGTTCTCACTTCGTGTCAGGAGCTGACATTTCAACTTCGCCACCCTCCATCCTGGGGCTGAGGATGTATCGAGGAGACATGACGTACAAGGTACGGTCGAGTCTCTACAGGTTGCGAGTTAATCGAGATAAAGCAAACACACATAGGTGTATGTACAAAAAGGAGGACCCCAAAGATGGGTGATTTCCTTTGGTTTCTCCTGAAGCCAACCCCAAAAGGGTGCCCTCAACAAAATACGTAAACCAAAGGGTGTTCCTTATTCCTCACTAGCGAGAGTCTGGGAATCAATAATCCTTTGCACCAAGCTGGTACTTTGCAAATGTCACACGATGGTGTCCGACCTGGTCATCTATTCCGGCTTGGCTCAAGGAAACTGTCTACCCCTTGCTACCGCCGCTCATAGCCTTAGAGCAGCCACCAAGGTTGGAGCCTGGAGAAAGGCCAAAGCGGGGATGGGGGAAGAACCTCCTACTCTTTCCACTTTGTCTTCCATCAACACCAAACCTCCTGGCCCCTGCCTCGTCGTTCGCTCAGACAGGGTTCCCCGAAAGATGCATTCAAAAATGGCCCTATACCAAAAATCACCTGTTTCATACAGATATTTTCCACATCAGCTCGTAGTCGTAGATGTGTGTTTTTCCACCATGGCCAACATGCATCATGTGGACATGTGGCAGCATAACCCAAATAGGAGGCTTTCCCTTTAGTTTCCCTAGACCCCGAAGGGCACGCAACCCCATTTCAGCACCCCTCCACACCCGGGAGGTCGAAACGGCCCTGCGCCGCCCTCTTGGCCGCCAGCATTCCAGAAGAGCTCGCCTTGGTGTCCCATGGCCCGATGGAATGGGTTCAACGACTCTGAGATGCACAGTGGCCACGGGCAAAACATCGCATCCTTTCTGTGGTTGGTTCACGACAAATGGGAGCCCTTCGCCAAACAAAGAGATGAAAAAAGGGCACAGCTGGGGAACTGGGAATGGTTCCTTTTGGATGCTACACACATGCCGCTTTGCAAGAGATGCGTTTTTCTGATTAGAACCCCCCCAAAATTCGGGGCTGAACTTGGACCATTGGTTAGGGTGACTTAGAAATAGAACAACATGAACAGAGGTCATCAGCAAGATGCGCACCAAAAATCGAGGCTTTGGCCCATTTCCTGCAGAAATATCTGAAGCTGGTTTCTTACGTGGGTGAAATATCCTTCGTTCAACAACCTTGGAAATGCAAAGAAAGGGTTGTGGATCAATGCCCCCTTTTCTTCATTGGTCCATTATGGGGACAGGGGCAATGGGGGGTCTGCTCGATTTTCGAACTCCAGGACTCCAGGCATGCCCTTCAGAGCTAGGCAGGTACGACATGCATAAACATGACCTAGAAAGTAGGCGTTGAGGGTCTTTGAAAAGGCGGTGGTGAGCTGGTTGCGCAGTGCCAAGCTTCTGATGCTACGTACCCTGTTCTGGTCGTTTCAGTTGCGACCTGACTTGAGAAGTAAACTGCCTTCTGCTACAGCATCCTTTCTGAAAACAAGTCATTCTACCTTCTGACAGTTTACAGCTCCGCGTGCCGGAAATAGGCCCCAACAAAATGGAACCCGACCCACAGCGGCCGGCCCCTCTGTTCCATGCCGGGCCGTCCAACGGCCCCAATGGACCGATTGTGGGCTGTGAAGCCCTTGGTCGCTGGAAACCAAGTACGTCCAGTCAATGTCCGCTTTTGACATCGCCAAAGGACTTTTGGCCAAAAACGGATCTCAGTAGATCCAAACTTCAAACAGAGCGAAGAAAAGCAGCTGGCTGAAACAAAAATTCTAAATGGGTGTGTGTGTGTGTGTGTTTGTTTTGAGGGTATACTCATTTTTGGGGTCCCCAACACAAAGACAGACCCACATCGACCCCCTGAAATTTGCGCGAACCAACACGCTGTCTGGGGCATCGTGCTCTTGCACTCCCGGTCCGCGCCCAGAAAGTAGGCAGAGCCCATCTTGCTCCAGCCCTCCGTCGTGCCTTGCACCGAAGAGGGGCGGTGCGTTTGGGGAAGAGGGGAAATGGGTTTGCTGGTCATTCTCGTTTGGCGTAGTTCCACTATCCCCAATGGCTGCCCTCTGGGTCAAATAGCGAATCCTGAATTTGGGGCAGCACTGGGACAGGTTCCTGAAGGGCTGGAACTAAATCAATGTCATGCAACGCTGCAAGCTGAAAACAAGAATGTGAGACAGCTGCTCAAGTAAGAAGCTGTCCCGAATTGCCAAACATGTGACTGCAACCGATGGATACGTATGGGTTAGTAACATGGGGAGCACCCCCACTGGGTAGTGTGTTCTTGCCTTTCGCTTCAGAAACCCTTAGTGACGCCCTCATGGTGTCTACAGACAAACTGAAGGAACACCACCCATGGGCGATCCCCTGATTTCAACACACTCATTCTGCCATGCGCCTGGTGTGCCAAACGCCCTGAAGCGGAGAAAGCCGTCTCAAGTCTCAATGCTTGGCGCCGGCGCCTATGAAAATAGCTGGTATACGGGAAACAGCTACTTATGTTCCGATTCCAAGGTGAATGAAAAGGACCAGGAAGCCAAAGTAGGTCTGGAGCACAAACTACACACGGACCACCCGGTTGTGAAGGGCCCAAGCCTTGTAGCTGGGGGCAAGTCAGGCTAGCTGGCGCTGAACAACGCCGAAACGGCCGAGTCGTTGGGAACGCGGCTGGATCGCGTGAAACTTAGGACTCAGGATGAACTGACAGGGGGGCAGCGGCTTGGCAAATCTAAGTGCTTCCAGTCCCCAACGTAAGCAGTGGACACCATTGAGACACGCAAATCCCTAATTTCCTCCTAAAATCAAAATCAGGAGCCTCAGGGAATGTGTTCAAAGTTGGGACCTCCAACTATCAGCCTTTGCCCTCACCAAACTATGCCCTCACCACGATTCTGATCCATGTTTAGGAACCCTCAAAATGCAAAGTAATGTCTAACCGACGTTTTTCCAATGCCAACACAGGCGAGTTACTTGGTATTCCTTTATCCCTTGAGTTGCTCCGGTTGCTTCTGCCGCCCCCAAATCCCAACTGACAACGGAGAGGAACCTCAAACAGGGGTCTAGTTCCAAGCAAAGGCTTGCTCTGCAAATGCGAGTTGTTTGTTGAAGTTCCGTGCTAATGTGATGGCGACCATCAGCGGACTGCACACAGAAGATGGCACCAGAGCACGACTCTCCTCCAAGTCCGTAGACACCACACGTTTGAAGTTGGTGTGCCCCCCTCTAAAGCCCCAGTTGCTGAGCGATCACGTCCGCTTTTTGTGGGGAACCTATCAAACAAAAAGGGAAGGGTGAATCCAGTGAACAAGCAAGAAGCCTTCCCAACTTTTCCCCGAAAGAACAAATGTCTGGATGAGGCAAACGTGCGTGTTGATTCTGGCAAAACTGGCAGGTGCCGCCATTAATTCAACAAGCACATCCCAACATACCACTATGCCCCCAAGCAAAATGGTGCATGAACACATGGTGCATGCATCCCAAATGAATGGCTTCCTTTGCGCTTTGAAGCTGTGTCCAACCCAAGAAGCTAGTTGTGATTCTGGCCTATACTTTGTGAACCTCACAATACGAATGGCTTCAACGGACATCCCCGTTGAAAGAAAGGAACTCAAACGGGTTCGACACAAAAACGTCGGGGAACCCTCCAAGTTGTGTTTTCCTTTCGTTCCAGCAACTCCCTTCCCGAGTGCATTGGCCAACACAGCTTGCTGTTTGCCAGTAAAATCGTCTTCCCAGCAAGCATGGGTGATTCTCTAAATAGCGGCCCCTAGTCCCCTATCCTTTCAGTTTTCCTTCAAAACCTCCCAAAAAGGGTACCATCGGGTGGGATTTCAAGGAAACCGCCGAGCCGCTGATGGGATCCTTCTGCCAAGCGTTCAGCGCAACGCACACCTCCACCTCCTCGCAGACAAAAATCCGGAAATGGGGCCGGCGCGGAAAGGTGTGTGTGTGTGTGTGTGTGTGTGGGGTGGGTCAAAAGGGACCAAAGGGAAAGCCAACTGATTTGGGTGTCCTGTATGTCGTGGTTCTGTTTTTGGTTGATGGGTGGGGTTGGCTGGCTGGTTGTTTGGAACGCTTTTTGGTTGGTTGACGTGGGGGACCCACCAAATAGGGGTTGAGAGGACGGGATGAGCAGCCGGAAGAGGACTACTTGGATGTTCTTTAACTTATATCTCGGGTAGCCGGGGCAACTGAGGTGAGTTAACATGGTTATAAGTTAAGTTATAAGTATTATAATCATGGTTGGTAGCCTATGCATTAAGCGGCTTGAAGGCTTCCGTGGATCGTGGTCATGGTTCGCTTTGATAGACACCTTTACATTGCCTGTTGAAAATTCCGAGCGGAACAGGGCCGTCCCTACCGGGCCCGAGTAAAGGAACCGGTCTTTTCATCTGTCTTCAAATGTTTTCAATACAGTGTGACCCCAAGGAACGAGGAACCGATCTTTTGACCATGACGCATCGAAACGGAAACCCCGAAACCCCGGCAGTGCGAACGAGCCCTCTCCTCGAAATGACTTGAGGTGGGGCTAGACACACCGCAGGCGCTTGCGCAGGTCACTGCAGGGCACGCCGAGACACCTGGCGCGTGAACTGGATGTTCAAGATGCACCCCAGCAAAACAGGACAACACAAAACAGGTCCTTTCCCCCCTCAAACTAAAAGAGCGGGTGCCCCGAAAGCACAAGTAATCGAAGCATGTTTTCTGCGCTAGTGGTCTCTTCGCTAGTTCACTCTGCAAGTTGTTCTGCGCAAGTTGCGCAAGTTCTTTTCTCAAAATTATCTGCTCAAGTTTGTTTCCCAAGTTCTCGATGCAAGTTTCTCTGCAGTGCTCTTGTGCAAGTTTCTCTCTGCGCCTCTTCGCAACTATCTCTCTACAAGTCGCACTGTGCAAGTGTTTTCGCACGCCGTTCTCAATGCAAAGGGCCGTTCTCCACGCATGTGCCGCCAAGAGTTGCAAACCTCTGTAGCTTTTGCACACCGACCACGCCGATCCCCGCAAAGGGTCGCGCGCGTACCGCAAAAGTGGAAAACACCCGCAGTTAGTTTGCTCGTGTGACTTCACAATGCTTTCGGGCAGATATTCTCCAAGGTCTTAAAGTCCAACCCAAGCCACGAGCGTCACCCAAAGAGTCACTTCGGTTCTCGCGGCCTTTGGGCAAGTTCCCGTAGTGCAAGGCGTCGAACTCTGTGGAGCCCGGCACTTCGCCTCGATAGCTTGGGCCCAAGGGCAAGGGTTCGGACACATTTTCTTGAAACATGTTACAACCACCCCTTACAGTTACCAACCGGAGAATGTCTTTCAGGAGAGGGTCCCGAAGGGCCTCTTTATAGACGGAAGTCTCGGGTTGATCTTCGCCTTCCGAAAAGACACAGTTTGGTGGATTCCCCCTCTCATTTGGATTCCACTTTTGTTTGGTGGGGAAATCCAGTTTCCTTAATTGCTGAATTAGCCCATTCTTGTACCTAGGAAGCCAACTATGAAAGCGACCAAAACAATGGATCCTTCGGAAACGAACTGGGAAACAACTGGTCCTGGCATCCATGTCTCTCTGAAATGCCCTTCCCGTACGAGCCTCAAAAATGGCCAGACTCCTAGACACAAAAATTTGGCTCTTTCCAAAATAGGAGTTAGGTGAACAAACCATGAACCATGCAGGTACAGGGGTGTACCGTGTGTTGATTTGTTGAAACCGTCCAAAAGGATACGTAACTCCGTTGTGAGCACAGGCCCGCGTGGACATTCCCTTTCTTCCCTTTGTACTGCCTAAAAAGCGGACTAATATGGTTCCCCCCAAAAACAATATCCTGAAGTGAGGGACCTTCATCTGCGAATTCTAGTAGAACTCTAAGCCTGAAAAAAGGGATCCTTAAGTAAAGGACGCAATTATCATGGCGAGCTCGTGTTTCTTCCTGGATCAGTGAGCTGAGTACGGCCAGAGCCATGTTGGTGCACTTGGGTGCTCAGAATCTCAGATACCCAAGTATGGATCTCCTCGAGTGGCGTCTTAGATAGGGGTCGTCTTTGGGATTGTTTTGGGAAACCAAAGGACACCAAGAAGCTGACCATTTTTTTTGAGAAACATCCAAGTATGGCAGGTGGCAAGCTTAGGTCGCTAGAATTTGTCCATGACCAATCCCGACCTCCAGTGGCCAATGCTGAGTATTTTTGCCCAGGAAAGCAACATGCTTTAAAATTTCACCATATTTAGTGAACCTTACGGTGTCAAATCAATTCAGAGGAGATTACGTAGGGGGGGTCATTGGGCCTTCCGGAATACTGGATGTGGACCCCCTCCCCAAAAACAACAGGGAGTGAGGATGGAAAGGATTGTTAATTCTCGTGGCTTAAAGCAAGGATTATGGTTCCCGACATGGGCATGTGTCAAAATCGGGGAACCCCCCTGGCTTCCCTTTCAGCCAGCTCCAGAATGGGTCCCTCAAAACAAGACACCCTCTTGATCAGGACCTTTTGAACACGCTAGTTTATGCTTTGCCCCCCCCCCCCAAAAAAAAAAAAGAAAAGGAGGAGGTTCGGTTTCATCTTAGGGGTTTCGCTCTAAACCGCACGGCTCGATGGATCTCTTCCAACCGAAGCCACTAGCGTTGCAGGCGAAGACCTCCAGCTTCTCCGCGGGGTCACCTGACAAGTCATAGGTCAGCATGGTTTTTGAAAACAGCAGGTTTCAAAGTGGGCCATCCCCATGACACGTTTATCATGATAAAGGGGATTCCCTTGGAATCCAAGAAAGTGGCACTAAAACCAGGGCTTGCCGATTTGTTGACTTCAGCATGTCCTTTTGAAATGGGTTGCGTACCGTTCCTTTCGAAGTTGCCCCCCCCTTTTGCTTTCTGGCTTTCTTTTGCCATGATCGACAGTGTCTCCAAACAAAGTGCCTGTCCGAAGTGTAACAAAAGGCTGTCTTCGAGTGTATGCACGTGTTAAACACAACGCTGGCGGTGTTTAAGGACCCAAAGCCCTATTGGAGAGCTCAACCATTTGGGGGGGGTGGCAAATCATAAACGAGCAGCGTTCAAACGGTCCTGTTCATATGGGTCCCCAACTTGATTCTTGGGCCTAGAAACCAAAAGGTAAACTAGACGTCAAAAACCTGATTTAAGTTCCGAAAATGTACCCTGGTTTTGAACGCTCGTCGTCTCTGGCTGCCTACCCTCAACACTTGGCTATGCCTCAAAATAGGGAGGGATTTGGCCCCCAAAATGGTGGTTTGCCTTTGTGTTTTCCAGACAGTAAAACAACCTGAACATGGTACCCTTCAAGAACACTACACACAGACACACCCCGAACCGTTCACGTACCATGCGAAATCAGAGTGAAATCATGATGAGATGACCCACCACCCTACCATGAAGGACCCCCTGAACAAACATGCTTCCTCACACTTTGTCTCAACCTAGGAACTCCCGGATGGAGGACCGTACCACTCAGAGAAACTTTGTCCAAAGAAATTTGTTTCTTTCGTAGCTTACCACCCACAAACACACATCCCAAGTTGTTACTACCCACTCAACTGTTGCTCAACGGTCCTTTGAGTAAACATGAACCAGTGGAACACCAACAGGACAAGGTTGATTTGAGCAGGCGAGGCTGTTTGTTCTTCCGCTGAGGCTCCCTGGAGCGGCCGGAGCCTGCAAGATCCGCATGCCTCTAGATCTTTGGGAAAAGATAGAACTTTCCGAGCCCCTTGAAAGTAGCCGTCTGCGAAGAAGTTTTCCCTAAAGCTGAAAAACTGACTGGGCCCGTTTAAAGTAGTCTTCCAGCGCGGTTCCGTCAAGCTTGACTTGAAAAAGGTGCCTGCTGCGATCTTCATCTCCAAGACTTCCGCATGCTGCGTGAAGTTGGAATCCATGCCTCAGCCCCATTGCGTCGCGCAAAGAGTGTGGAACATGAAATGCAGTGGATGTCCCAACTGACGCGCGCTGTTTTTTTTCTTTTTTTCAGGGTACCGTTTTTGGGGTTGGTTGAAAAGGAAACAGAAGGGAAACCATGCTGAGTTTGCGTTTGCAAGAGCAAAGGTGAGCCTTCAAAGTAGCGGACGCCCCAAAATGGTGGTTTTCCATGCGGTTTCCCTTCAAAGCAACCCCATAGTACCAAACAAGACAGCCCCCAAAGCTATCTTGAGTAGCCGTGGGCCCAAAGGCAGGGTTCTCTTGACCTAAACCACTCTTTGAAGCTGGTTGCTTGAAGTATGTGGTGTCTTCCAAGAGTCATCCTGTGGAAAACGCGCTCAAATATCGCGGACGTGGGTCAAAGTACTCAACAAAAAGTCCGAATACTAGACTCTCCCAAAAATTGCCAGCAGCCCATAGAGGAAGCTCATTGTTGCACTTGTACCCCTTTGTGGGGTCCCTTCTGTTGATTTTGAAGCAAAGGTTGCCAGTGAGGTTTTGCCAAGTATGCTGTCAAACAAGCCCGCCTTTACTTGATACTGGATTTGAAGAGTTGCTTGGACTCTTCAGGGAAACCCTGACCCCCCATTGAAGGATGTACACTCAGCAGAACATGTAATACTGTTTGGGCTCTCAACAATGGCCCGATCATGCCGAGGACCGTTTTCCAAAAGTTGGGGTTTGAGTGAAGGCAAGGACTGGTCCCACTTGGATTCCTCACCACCCCGAAATCTGAACTGAACTGTTCCTCCTTAATGTTTCCCCTTGATTCTTTCAAACCTGCCAGGTATCAATCGAGGCGATCCCCCAGGCAAAGGAATAATTTGGTTCTGCTTTGTTTTGGGGATCCCCAAAATGGTGTTTGTCCGTGAGGGGTGTAGTAGTCTGGAGTCAGCAAGGGAGGGTATGGGAAGGGCATGGCCCTTGATTGTGCATGAGCCCCTAGTCACTGCTGATCACTCTTCAGTTGCAATGGATCCGTGATGAGACTGAATCACTCCTCTCCCGAGAAGTCTCATTGGAACCCCCAAAGATCCCAACAGCACCCAAAAGGAATCTCCTTTGACACGGACTTGTTTTTAAGATCTTGGCTCACTTGCTTCCCAACAATCTTGATATCAAACAAAGATCACAATACCCTGGCAATTGAAGACAAACACATGGTCCCTGCAAAAGAAAACTAAAAGGGCCATGGTTCACCGAGGCCTAGGCACAGTTTTCCCGCTATACCCAAGGCGAAAAAACTCCCTTACCCTTCTTCCAATCATGAACGTGCACAGTCTTCCAAAACTCACCCGTCAGCTTTCATAAGGAAGGTAGGTTCCTTCCAGAAGCTGGGATCGTGTTTCGCCAAAGGCTCACTTCTGAAGCTTCTCCTTCTGATCCTCCCCAAAGGAGCTGATGAGGCACACCATGCGCAAGATGGATCGCATCTGGGCCTCGAAGCAACATACCTCAACCCCCTTGTGGCTTGGGGTCAGCATCCCTCCCTCCAAACAATTCACAACCTCGAGCATGTCACAAAGTTGTCTTTCTTTCAGCAACGTACTTGCCTAGTGACAGGCCGAGTGGCCGAGTGGCCGATTTTTGGATGGTTGACTTAAACAGATCACTCGCCCCAATTCAAAGTAAGGAGCAAGGCCCGGAATCCACCAAACTAAACGGGGAAACCACAACTGCCATGTTTGTTTCGTGGCTTTTGCCTAATTCGATCTTGAACAGCCCCCAAACGTCCACTTCCACACATGCTGGACAGCAGCGTCCAACAGCGGCCGACACCGTTTCTTGGTTCACTTAGCCGCACCTTCTGAGGTGTCCATTGACGATTCACAAACGAGGATCATGTCACACTGTCACCTCCCACCCTATCGTACCCAGGGAAAGTGCTCGTTGGTTCGTTGAGGTGCCCCACTTCCGCAAAGGCAATGACCTGCATGGATCTGCGCAAATACCGAGAATCCTCATTTGAAATGACGGGCCCGGCGCTCGACTCGAACGCGAGTCTGGGGATCTGGGGACGGGACGGCACGCGAGACGCCCTGGGCTTCGTGCTCGTTCTGGCGCCAAAGGCAGGCAGATGCTCCGATTCAAGCAATACAAACATACCAACATGTATACATATATGTACATGAATATGCACACGAGCAAAAATAAACATTCTACATCAGAATACACCAAGTCTGATTGGCTCACTTGCGCAAAGGCTGTAAGAACCAAAGGACAGGCCATAGGCAAAGAAGGAAACATGTCACTGACTGATTGACTTTGTTGGCCAGGGAACTCTTCCAAAAAGGAGATTCTCTGTTTTTGGAAGCACCGACTTTAAACTGGCTCCCCAAAGGTAGCACTCAAACTTCGCAAAGCGGAAAATACAAGAACTGAACACAGAAGCCATCAAACATGGCATGAGTTTCTTTGTGTTTTTCCCTTTCTTCCTTTTGCTCGGTTCGGATACACTGTCTCACTGTGTTGCGTTGAAAGATAGTGGGCTTTCGGGTTCCACGTTATCTTTCAGAACATCTTTTGTAAGCTGAGCGGTTCACTCAATGACCCACGGCCTTGACGGTGTCCCAGTTGCTGCTCGCCGTGTCGTAGCCTGAGCTAAGTAGCCCGTCGACAGACTTTTGGCTTCTACATGTCCCACCTTACATGCACATAGGCATGTATACCTCAAAATTGGCAGAGGGCCGCCTTGGAATTTCTCCAAAAGTACCCCGAAAACGGTTCCTCAAAAACACAAGAAGCTCATGAAGCAGTTTATCTTCTGTGAATCGGTGAGCTCATCATAAAATGGGCAGACGGACATTGTGGATTGCTCTTCCCGGTCGTTTGCGGTGGTCCAATGGCAAAACTGGTGCGACGCTTTTGGGGCTTGCAGCTGCTTGGGGCACGTTAAAACGGAGCCAAAAAAGGGCCTGGTCCCTTTGATCAGGTGGATGGGCCAACCTGTCCTGTCATTGTTGGAAGAAAAGTCTTGCCCGCAGTCTTTGTCAAGGGCTCATGTTGGGGAGCACACTTGGAGAATCTGCTTGCAGCTAAAGGGCCTGAAAATACACGGCTGCCCAGTTGTTGTTTTCTCACTTGTCCAAAACATGTGGGTACGGAGCATCTCCTGGGATCAGAACCGGAGACCAATGGAAACACAAAGGTCGATTCGGTCCTGGACAAGTGAGGCCTCGGTCGCAAGAACTACAGTGCGAACCCAAGTGGTCCGAAAGCTTTAGCATTCTCAAAGTCGCCCACGTGGCAGGTTGAGGTGAAACCTCGAGCACCTCGAAGTTTGATTTCACAACCCGATCGCGAATTCACTTTTGGCTGGGACTGTCGACTAGCCATTCTCTGCCGAGGTTTTGGTTGTGGCTCACATGGACATTCACCGCGCAAGTAGGTGAAACATCCGCGGCCGGGTGTCCCTTGAAAGGGAAATCAAAGAAGATTCTCAAAGAAGGCGAGTTTCAACATGGCTGTGGGTCAAAAATAGGTACCCAAAATGGAACCCAGGTAGATGGAACCAAGACTAAAACCTGCGGTCCCCTGGTGGCTTAATTTTGACCCACACCCATATGCTTAAACAAGGGCCTTAGCCCAACCATCTGCACCGATTGAAGCCAAGAGGTTGACCACCTATGCAGTCGGGCTGCAGGTGTCATACGCCTCCCACGCAGTCCTAGCAGTGTATGGCTCTATCCACCCCCCGCCTTGGAGAAATCGACATGGGTACGCGTCAAAATTAAACCACCAGGGGACCGCAGGCGGTTTTAGTCCTTGGTACCAGGGCTTCATTTAGGGCACCTATTTTTGACCCACAGCCACATCTTCATCGGCGATCCGCTCTTGGCAAGCCAAAAGCACACCTCGAACAAGTAGCCAACCACATGCCGGCAGAACAGAGTCTGATGCTGTTCAGGCCAAACACAGGATGGGAAATGTGTGCGCGCAGAAAAAACACGCCCTCGACTGAAGATCAAAATGATCTGAACAGCATACTCTTGTTTAAACAAGTCAACAATAAAACTGGATGCATTAGAGCAACCCAGGTCATGCAACCTGTGAATACAAAAGCAGGCCCCATACCCATACGTAACAAAACCTTCAAGCAAACAAGTCATGAAGCATGTAGCAGGTAAAACACAAAGCCTTATGCAAAACAACCCCGCCGCATACGCAATCTCAAAAACTAACTCGAACAAACAGGACCCGGTCGCAGATAAAAACAAACGCCTTCACGCCCTCGACTGAAAAAACCAAAGGAACCTGGACAGCATATCAGCAAAACGCCTCGTTTAATTCAAGCAAAGTACAACATACTGCAAATATAAACCTGTGGACACAAAAAGAAACTGAACAGCACGTGCGCACATGATGGCTACTTCAGAGATACCCGTTTCGGGTGGTTTTAAGGGAAACCAAAGGTCAAAACCATCTCATCTTGAGAACCCAGAATTTACCGCCAACCCCACTTGAGCCTACCCTACGGTTGACATATTTCTCCGTTGCTGAGTGAGACTGTTGGAAAAAAGGAAGTGGTGGGCTGCACTCAACCAAACAAGACGTCCGTGCCCCAAAAAGGAAGATGCAGCTTTAAACATTTAATCTACGCACATTCTGCGCACAGAAGATTCTATTTGGAGATTCATTCTGCATAGCACCCAACAAAGCAGATTTCCCTCCAAATGGAATGCTTTTGCCTGGTTCCACTCCCGTTTTCCAAAGGATTCCTCGAAACCTGTGTTTTGTTTTATTCTATGTGACTATCTGAGGTCTGGTTCTCCGCCGCAACCTTCGTTTGCTTCGCTTCTCGTTTCGCCGGCGCATCCTGCGGTTCTTCAGCTCGTTGCACTTGGCGCTCTCAGCAGTGGCCCGGGGCGCGCAGCACCCAGCGTGGGCTTCCCTAACGAGAGGCTGGGTCCCGTGAGTTGCTCTATGGCCAAGTGGGTGTTTCCAAGGAAAAAATGGAAACTTGCAGAAAGAGATGATTTAGTTCCCGTGCAAGAAGTAGAGCGTAGGGATGTGGTGCGACTAATGTGCCCTACTAATCCAAGAGCCTAAAGGGGAAAGGGATGTTGATTCAAATTTGCAAGGTGACTGCTTCCTTGGAAGCACGCAGCTCCCGTTGCTATGGCTCCAAGGGGCCAGCTCAGTTCACACAGGAGGCCTACCAAACCCGCGGCCCTACAATCGAAAATACGCTAAAAGCCGCCCTTCCATAGGGTTTGGGCTGTGGCCATCCCGGAGAACCTCGTACTAGGGGAAGGGGGCGGCATCAAACCTCACATAGCCATTTATATGACTACCACCCAATCCGAGAAAACAAACACCAGATCCTGGCACTTGATGTCTGACAAACGGGAAACAAAAAGATGCTGTGTTCGCTGGCAACTGATTTCCCAATGATTTCCCATTCATAGGCGCTGTTTCACGGAAGACTCCCCTGCATGAACCTGCACTGATGGGGCCCGCGCCTGTTGAACCTCCGGAACCGGTAAGCTCAAAGTGGCGCTCATGTTATCCTCCAGACTAAATTAACCCAAGATTTAATGTTATCCTCCAGACTAAACCCAGGATGATTTCAATATATTTCGATAATACCGAATTAGGCCATCCCTATCCTCTGCGATGCTACAAAGTGCCAGGGCACTCGGTCTTTGGCTTGACCACCTCCACAATGTCGTCGCAGTTCCTGAGCACATCATCTACGTTTGCTACAGCCACATGTGTCATCGATGACATGTGAAATGTTTAAGCTTGTTGCACTACACGTCTTTGATATACAGAAGGATCTTCAGGATCTTGCCCGTTCTGCCAACATCTATGGTGGGGCTCAAATAGGGGTCACTGATGTGTGTGCGTGTGTGCAAAAGCCAAGCGCTAGCATTGTGTTTCCTTTGTGATTTTGATTTGCTATACTACTTAGCTTTGTGATGTGCAAGGGTTAGCCTGCCAAGGGGCTTGTAGCAAGTCTCCACCTCGCCTTTGATGTCTTTGCACCTGTCGCTGGGCTCGGCTGTGCGAACTGGCCAGAATGTGCTTGGAGGTGCACGCTCCAACGAGCGCCCACGGGAAGGAGTGGGTCCTAAAATGTCCCAAATGCGGAAACACAACCCAAACCGTCCAGGTACTGGACACCATAAGCAATCCACTCCATTTGCCAATTCCATCCTTCCGAATCCAAAGCAGCCAGAATTCACACTCCTAAGGAATCCTAAGCAAGGAACGCTCATCATGGGCGCGGACAAGTTTCGGGTGGGAAATGCCGCTTTCTATGATACCAAAGTCAATAATCTCCGTTTCTGCTTTGCCATTTTTGAGGGGATGTTCTTGGTATCAAAGGCATTTAAGCTAATTAAACCCACGCGTCAAAACAAGATCCACTGGGACTTTTTGGGGGTTGCCCAACGACCAACCTGCTCGAATACATCCAAGTCTGTTGACGTTTCACCTAGCATTTCTAAGACTTGCTAATCAATGCCAGGGGCTTCGGAACCAAGCCCGAAAGGGAATCCAGCAACTGAACAGGGGCATCTCCGAGTCCGGGGTGAAAGCAGAAACGCGCATCACCAGCCACGCCCTGCCCGCATTTAGACTTCAAACACGCCAAAGTCGCCCTATCCCAGAATCCGGCCAACTCTGTGCGTAGTCCGGAATCGTTTCTCACCCAGGTTCCCAAGTGTTTGAAGGCCTTATCGATCATGGGCACCCATGGACCATTCATACCGCAGCCACTCACTTGGGCACAGGTGACCGAGCCCGGCGCTTGTGCGACACATTGAAGTTCCAGTCCGAGTTCTTAGTGCAGTTCATTGGCGGAGTGTTTTTCGAGGTTACGACTGAAAGCGAAACGAGAAGAAACACCCACCATCTTTGGGGTCCCTGATTTTGATACATATATATATATATATATATTCATATACCCAAATGAGATTTGCCACTCACTTTTGCAATACCATCAAGTGCCTTTCTGATTGCCAGTTCCCCACTTAATGGGCAGGTGCGCGTGGGTATCACAGAAGTGGGAACCCCTGCTCCTTTCCAAACCCTACAAAGGTTACTTGTTGATTAACGACTGGCAAAGATTGGACAACTAAGCAATTCTATTTGAATTCACGTGTGCACTACATTGCCATGATGTCAAGTACAAACGTGATCAGATAAGGTAGTGTGTGTGTGTGGTTGCTTCGTTTAAGTTGGAAGTTTTGACTTTAAACCACTTCAAGCTAGCCAGGCATTCAAACTACTCAATATTCCTCAATATTATTGAAAGCAGTCTCATTTTGACAGGCGCGCAACGCTAGCTTCCCTTCCCGGTGTTCCTCCAAAGGGAAAGGGACACCTTGTTACTCGCCGATGGAGTTCCTCTCGGTTTCCCTTTAAACCTGCCACAAAAAAGGGGCTGGGAAGGGTGTCCCAGCTTCGACAAAGGGGTTCACTAGCATGGCACGGATCGGAGTCCTGGGACTGAGAGGGGCTTGCGAAGGAAAGGCCGAGCTGCGAGGCCCATGTGCTTCTCGATGTTTGCCACCACGCGTTCAAGGAAGGCCTGCGATCGGAGCGGAAAGGGGGTAGGGGAGGTGGGAGGGAGGCAAAGCGAAGGGAGGGAATATTGAATATGCAGTATTAGCGACTTAGCGACGATAGGATCTCAATGGGGCCCAACCTATGCCCAACCTCTTTGTAGTGTGGCCAGATGAGCGCAAGGGTTCTTGAAGCATGCTCCGCCCTCGCTGGCTCGGCTCCGTATAGGCGCTGTCTCAATATCAGAAGTAGAGTCTTTTGTAAGACACATTAACCTTCGACCCTCAAACCCGTATGGCAGGAGCCCGCCTACGACCCGTACAGGCCAACCAACGACCCTTCAGGGCCCCACCTACGACCCTGAAACCACTTCTGGACGCCTGTCTCGGGACGTGCATGGTCAGAAGGGGCCATACTTTTGAGAACCCTCCGCATGGCGGCATCCTTTGGGGGTGGGACAAATCGCTTGAGGGAGAAACGTCCTGTGGTGAAGACAGGAAGTCAGCGTTGAACATCATTATGTGCCTATTCTATCGTCCTTTTTTCCCTGCATGGCATGGTTGTGGAAATAAGCTTTTTCTGATACCAACGTGGCACATCCTAATGACTACTTTGTCAGTTTTCTTGCAATATCACAGAAAGTGGGGTAGAACCGAACTTTTCCATAACCAGAATGTGCGGCGACCACGACGGGAGAGCTGTAGCATCCCACCCTGTAGCCCTCGTGGGAAACGGGTGTGCAGTCCAGCTGGTTGCACTCCTCGCGATGGGTACCGGTCCCCCCGCATCCCGCCCGGAAGTCTCAAGGGGAACACTTTCAGGGTTGGCAAAATTACTGTTGGGACTCGGTTATTTTGCTTGCGACCACTTTTTACAGCGTCAGTTTGAGGATGTCAAATGCTGCTTCAAGTCAAAAACACCAGCGCGGAATCACACTATATGGCAGTTTGCGGTAAGGTACCGTGGATTCCACCAAAGCACACGAAGCCACAGCACGTGGGCAATACAGGCTCTGAGGCTTGTTAAAGCGACTGTGTGGTGGAAGGGTGACCTTGACGGTTGACCTCAACTCAACCAATGAAGAGCTCAGCCAATTGCAAATTGCCAACTCAACGGGAAAGTCAAAGCGACCGTTTTGGTGTTGACCGATGAAAGTAACTCGAACATCAGGCCAATGCGAAACCAGGTGGACCTTGATGAACCTCCCAACATGATTCCCAGGCCTTGCGAACTGCGCTCACACATGCAGTTGCACTACTAGTTGCTTTGCTTTCCCAAGAGTTTGATAACAATGGGACGGGACCAACAGATCGATCCCGCTTGAAGCAGGACACTACATCTTGACTGGCTCCTCATCCAAGGCCACACACTGCTGGTCGATGGTCTGCGTCTCTTTCAGGCAATAATACTCCTCGGGGAAACAACGTGCTTCTCCATTGAGCAGCCAGCCTACCGCCCTTTGCCTATTCCTCTGATACCCATGATGGTGATGCGTGTTGAAAAAGGCCCGCCTAGAGTGCCAGCTACAATAGTGCAACCTTTGAAATGCACCACGAGGGTTTTGGGTGCTTGTCCCAATGTAAGCCGCAACTGATTTATCCGGAGAGATTCTATCCGACGATATTGATGGCTTTGAGCTCAAAACAACGGCTCATGACTCTTTCTAGGAGCACAAACCTATTTCTGTTTTCGGCTGTCAGTGCAGCCCTCAGGGTGTACCAACCTCTGCTTGGGGTGCAATTGACTGGTGAAAACATACCCCTCCTCCCGGAAAGATACAACTTGACGTTTATGTTTCGGTGCCATGAGTAGGCGCACGCTCTCAGCGGCACATGACAGTATTTGATTGCGTCCGGGGGCTGTCTGAATGCCGTTCGATGTCAGTTGCTTACGAAAGGCCGCCCCGAAAAACGTAGGCCCGAGACAATGGTCGTTCGCCGACGAGTAAATTCAGCTAACTGGGAACTGCTGCTGGAGCTAATGTGCCACTCTTTTCAGAAAGTATCCAAATTCAGAAAAGCCTGTGGAATGATCGAACTGCAAGCCAATAAAAACTTAGCTGACAAAAAGGCGCTGCTCTGTTTTATGCTTGCTGACTAACTACACGGATCACTAGTCTCATTGGATAGGGACACAAAGGGGCGGCACTGACTGTTGGATGCCGACCACCCATTTAGCAAGTCAAGTGGCTTGCAGCCTTGGTCAGGAGTTGTCCCTTCAAGTGGGCATGTAAGGTGAACAGTCTGGTGGTCTGATAGTGCCCAATCTCCTAACAAATTGTATGGGTCATTGGCGCGGGCCCCGAATCTCGCTTATATAAATAGATTCCCCATATATAAACATGCAGCCACTTTATTGTTGGCATGTATGGCTATCCCCCGGTTTAAGACACCGCAAAATGGTGAGGGACCATACCGATACAATTGTCTTGGATCATCAGCCGGGCTTTCGGAAGCCCGGCAAACCTGTAGGGTTGGGTTCTGGCTGTTGGAAGCCTTTGTTTCTACAGTTCAAATACTCCAACACCCCTACTGTAGGGAGAAGCACATGAAATGAGCGGAATGTCAGGGCTCAGTCCCTCCCCAATCTCTAGGGGTTCTTATAACCCCTTTGTGATTGTCCCATTTGGGGGTGTCTTGCTCCACGCCATTTGCGGATTCTGCCCAAAGAGGTCAGAGAACTCCCTAAATATTGCATGCAAACCAATCACATCCAATCACAGTCCCCTGGCAAAGTGCAGTAAATCAATCCTGTGCATGCACCATGTGTATGTGCATGCAGTCATATTATATAAACATATATATATATACATATGCTCTGTATTGCAACTACAATGCCCTTGATCCCCTACTTCACAACTTGCACACTTGGTTGGCATCTACCGTTTCCCCCGGGCGCACGTCGCTCGCTGAGGTCCCCGGCGCAGTCTTGGGTTTGGACGGAGAGGTTGGCCTCGTAGGACTTGCACCAGGAGTAAGCCTCGAAGTATTCCTGGCACGCGCACTGCAGAAGCTTGGGTCTATCAGCGGACCCCCTTCCCTGAAAGTCACATAGCCTCACGCCTCGGAAGCAAACCCCCTGTGGTCACTGTTCTTTCTTTGGGGACCCACTTCAAGTTAGTCTTGGCGACTGTACAAAGGCTTCTTCCCGTTGAGAAGGGGTCCCATTAAGAAGTGCCACATCTGCCCAAGGACGACAGAAAGCAAAGTCCAAAGAAAATGACTCCGGGATGTTCTCATACTATCACCCGGAAATCATGTCAATCATGGATTCATCATCCTTGGATCAGCAAGGGGGCGTGATTTGGATTCCCTGAATGGGGCAGCCGCGTTTCAATATTGATTCATCCTGCTTCCATTGGCCACCATTCCAGTTGGCATCCCCGAAGCGGGACACCTACATTGAAAGAGGCAAAGGTGAAGAGGTGGATGCACGTTGAACTGAGGCTATGGTCTTTTGAACATAGGGGGGTTTCCAAATCTTAGGTTCGTTACGGAACGTCAGGGGTAAACATAGTAAACACGTATATATAATTTTCCAACACCAGCTGTTCCCCCTGGTTGCTGGCATTTTCCGGAAAGAAGAACTACAAAGATTAGGGACATGAATGTAGACTCACACAATCGTGCAGGACTTCTCAAAATGGTGGCCCTCTTTTTGGATGATGCCCCCCAAATTTGAAGAAACACCCAAGGGACATATGGCTCTGAATGTTGATGGGAAATACGGTGCCCTCTGACCTCCAACCCTCCGAGATCGACACGGAGTCTTGGGAGAACCCTTCAGCATCCATTTCCGCGGCACAGAGCTGAAGCCAATAAGAGATCTAAGCCCAACGAGCCCAAAGCTGTTGGGGGGAAACATGGCCATGGGTCAAAAGCCGAATCGTAACCCCAGTGAACATCCCAATCCCCGCCAAAATAGACTAAAATGGGTGGTGCACCTAACCCAGAATGGTACCATTGGTTTTCACCCACAGCCACAGTGATTCTTGAGGGTTTGTGCTGGGGCCTTCACAAAGTTGGGAGGAGGGCGTTTTAGAGATTGTGCGGGCTCCTGGGACAGCCAACCCTCACCCCCCCCCCTTTGCAGCAGCTCCCAAACACACCACCCCGAAACAGACCAGAGCTGGATGTGTGTTTGAGGAGCGATGTGCTTCTCAGTGGAAGCAGTTGTATGAACCGGGTCTGTGGTTTTGCTGTCCTTCCTTATTGTAGCAACCCTTTTGGCCTTCTTGGGGGGAACTCAACCTCATCTAGCACGCCAAAGATGAACCTGGGCCCTGCCCCCTGCTTTCGCAAGCCTCATACCAGGCGGAGCCGTTGCTGCCGTTGGTCTGGAGCAACCTTGGCCGACAAAAGGCCTCGTTTGACTGACAACTTCCAGGCTGCTTCGCAAGGTTGCAGGTACGGTGGATGCCGCTAATAGAAAGCAAGTGAGCCAACCATACTCAACCACAGAAAACACCGGCAACCAGCAAAAACAGCAGGTGTCGGATAGATGAAATGGGTTACCCCTGACGTTCCGTAAATGAACCTAAGATTTGGAACCCCCCTATGTTGAAAAGATCAAAGCTGGAAAGATCGATGGTTGATGTGAAAAGAATCGGGAAGCAAGTCAACCTCTGCATGTGTAAGGGGGCTCGCCTCAGTTCAAAGTGCATCCGCCTCTTGACCTTTGCTTGTTTCAACGCAGGGGTCCTGCTTTGGGATCCTGAAAACCTGAATGGCGGACAGCTGATGAAAACAAATATTCCGCACGAACGTAGAGGACGTCCCTCAAACTCCCTGCAAAAGGATCACCCCAAGTCAAAATCCAAGCCCTCAAATGGATTTGAGAACCCCCTTTTGTCTGGGCAAACATCGTGTCAAATCGAGGGCTTTTGACTTGGCCTGCTGGCTCATTGGCAAGGCATTCACGGAACCGCCTTGACGAAACCTAAGGTGACCCAAGCAAGTCGCCTCAACTCTGTAGGTTTTTGGGGGAAGCAACTTGTTTCGGGCGCAGCGTCCAAAAACTTGAACCAAAACCAGTCCGAGGGACGTGGGCACAAGGCAGCCTGCGAACCAAAGGCAAACTTCCAATCAATGAATCCGAGACCCTGCCACAAGCCGAAGCTAAAAGACGATCCACACAACTCTCTCAGCTTTCGAATCTCCGCTCACTCAACATATTTTGTTCGGATGTTGGTCCGGTGACAGAAAAGGTCCCCAACAAGCCCGTGTTCAGCCCAAGAGGGAGGTCCCAACCAAAACGGCATGCCAAATCATTTCCGGCTGGCTTTCTGAGGGCCCTCCTGAGGTGCCATATCTTTGACCAACCTTCAGTCATGACATGTGAGCCACAGTCAATATTCAATATTCATTGGCCAGCGACATTGGAGTTTGGTGAAGGTTTCTGGTAGTTTTCGTGCTCGTTTGCCCAAGGACATCCTTGCAGTAGACGTCGATGAATGGAATCCTCGTCCCACGCAGTCGTCAGCCTCCCGCCCCCTCCCTTTCCCCGCCCCCCGACTCGAGGCCCCGGCGAGGTGGGCGGAAAGCGCACCTCGTCGGCAGCCTGCCACGTGGCATCGCTGTTGTTGGTTTTCAATAACAGGCCTGCCCTGGTAAATGCCCCTTATTTTAAGACAGGGGGTAACATCATACCCGGCTAAAAATAAGCTCTGGTGATATCCCCAACAGCATGCGGTGCTCTTTCACCACCCCGCAGCCCTCGCAGAACCTCGTGGAACCCTCGTGAAACCCTGGTGGAACCCTCGTGGAACCCTCGTGGAACCTTACCTCAGGGCTGCCCCGGCCGGAGCCTATCTGGGCTTAGACCCCAAAGCTTTCAGCTGTTGGGGAAAAAGAGGGTATGGGCGTAGGGGCGTGGGGGGCCGGTCCAATAAACCAACCACCGAGATTGACCGCTGAAAACAGCCAGCGTCTTGGTTTGCAACTACCAGGGGTTTAGGGAAGGTTTAGGAGAAGACTCCCGAAAAGATACGCTCTGTTGGTGAATCTAGGTTTTCAAAAATCCGGGAGGCATGCCTAAAACCGTAATCCGCGGTGGAGCACAATTTCCACAATGGAAACAACTAGCAGCTGATATATAAGCATTCGGAACAAGCCAGAATCGGGCAAAAAAGCATTCGGCAAACAGAGAGAAGGGCTAAACACTAACCCATGGCCAAAATTACCGGACCTGGCAAAATGTCGGAGTGGCTTTGTAGGACATTCAATGACCCATGCGCGTGCCAAATTGGTCATAGACTACCCTCCAAAACGGCGCTTCAAGTTGGCTTCCGAAACAAACATGTCTTCAAAGGTCGTCAAACATGTTGTCTCAAGCGGGTTACAAGTGTTTGATTTGCCTTCCCCCCATAAGAAATCGAAGAGCACCCGGAAAAAGACTTGTGCAAGGCAAGTGCTCTGTGACGTCACAATTCTTGTGAAGACAACCTTGGTTGAGATGTTCCTGCCCGTTCTCAAACACACCACTTCGTCACCCACATCAGCAGAGACCAACCATCTGCTCACTGGCTTTTCATGACTGCCTGTTTCGTGCCCCACAGCACATACCTGCCCGTCTCTTGGCCTTCATGCTCCCTGCCCCGTCTCCCCCCCGTGGTGGAGCATAGCCTATCCATGCTGCCAAAGCCGGTCATGGACGGTCATGAATGTGCAATTTGGCGCTTTCTTGCGCACTCCCTTGGCAGAATGCGTTCATCTGCAAATTCTACAATAATTCCAAAACCAGAACTAAGGATTCCCAAGTAAAGGACCTACATCATGGTGAGGTTATTTTACCCCCAAGTAAGCTTGCCATAAATAGGGATTTTATTTGTCCAAAACCTCATTTCGGATTTCGACTGCAGCCTGCGCAGGGTTGTGAGGAAACGAAGTGTTGGGGGATCCGTCCTCGTGGGGGCATGGAGATCAACCACTCGAGTTTTCCACTAGCGAACGCAAGAAACACAAAACCATAACTCTCTGAAGCCAAGGCTGCTCCAAAGACCTGGCACAAGGGTAGATATGTGGGTTGCAGGTAGAGGAAACTCAAAGGGAAACCAACAACAACTTGCAACCCTGAAGGTTTCGTCCTCTTGGCACAGCTGGCAGAGCACTACAGGAACGCCTTGTACGTGGTGAGGCAGTCGTTGAACTGCTGGCTCGCCTCCTCGATCTTCTTCAAGCCTTGGCTCGGAATCGGACAAGGTGCCTGGCTCAGAGGCTGATTCAAGGCTATTTTCGGGCATGGGTCCTGGAGCTTATCTACCACTTAAATAAGGAGTATATACTGACTGAAAGTGTCAAGCTTGGTGTTTATACAAGCATCCATATCTCCACACTTCATGCCTGAAAATGCCCTTGACTGATGGTTGGACGCCGTTGGCCATAGTTTACAAGGCAGAATCACGCAGGTTTGCAGTGTGAAGCTGGCGAGCAACATGGAGTTAGGCTTTGCGCTAGTCTGCACTTGCGAGATAATGAAGGGAGAATCCATTGTCAACCCGCTGCAAAGCAGCATCCACAAGCACCCTCCCATTGTAAATTTGACTTATGAAACACGCCAATACCTGGCGCACAACATGTCATCTCAAATTCAAACAATGCCTCAAACCTCAGCTGCATCTTCGTTCCGACCTGCCAGTGCACGTCACTGTTTGCCAATGGTAGACACCCGGTCCTTCGTTGTCTGAATTGCCGTGGGTCCCCTGATGTGCACAAACCCTGGATTTGGGGACCCCGCCCAGAATTGATGGGCTTCATGCTGGTTCATTTTAACATGGACCGAAAAAGGGGAAGTGTGTTTTCACACTCACCCCGATTTTCGCCAGAGTTCTCTCATTGTGCGCGGCGTAGAGCTTTTCCTTCATGCTCACGTTGACTATATCCAAAATGGTCCCAGCCACGGCAGTGTTGTTCGTGGCCTGGCAAGGGTAGAACGTCGCTGAAGCCAAACGATTCGAACGTTGGCTCAACGAGAACCTAGAGGAAAACCCTGTTTATTACAGTTCCCCGTTTTTTGACACATACCCATGTCAACAATCTTTCTGTCCAAACTCGGAGCAACCCTGCCTGCAGAGAACGACTTGTCAGCCGCTCTTGACCGGTCTTGGAAACAGCCTTTGAGAAACCGAGTCCCAGCGGCAGTTCGCACCAGAGGTGTCTGTTGCATTCATTGAAGGTCAACACACAAGTTGGATTTAGCATTCTTGCAGCTTTTGCCCCAAGTGCAAGAAGTCTCAGTGGCTGGTTGGATAGAAGCTTGAACATCCAACCAACGAGCAAAGACGCCATTAGCTTGCTTTGGGCTCTCACTGCGCACTCCCGTGCCTCGCTGCCTGCCTTCAGCAGGCCCGTGAGCGCACCTGCAAACGGAGCCAAGCGGCCCCCTCCCAAAGGGAGGTCCTGAATCCTGAAGGCCTTGGTAAGGCCGAAATTGGGGGACGGAGTGTCCCCAGCAGAGGGCGCGTGAACCCACAGGGTTCTCATTTTTGGGAATCTGCAGAATCCTAGAATCTACAAAAAGCTATATCTCAAACATTTAGGTTCCTACCTGTCCCAAGGGACGGCACCCCAGCAACGCGAAGGCCAAGGCCCTCCCATAGTCAATGGCCGCTGACAGTCAACTAGCCAGCCATTTTTATGGCTCCCAAGCACAATATTCTACATCAAGTGTTGTCCCCTGAAAGACGTATGGTGGATGCTGGAGGGTTCACTTCTCCACCATGCTGACGTACTACGCCCAACAAGTCTGGCAATAGTAAGCAGGGCGAGTTACACCAATTTCACAATGAACGCACACTGACCATGTACGATCCCTGTGAACGGAACCTTCACCATGGATTGTTCGGTCTCAAACCAAACCCTTCGTCACCAGGTCGCTAGGGCATGCCCATTAATGTTTCATTGCCTGTAGCTTTCCAGGGGAGCGCATTAAATTACCTTTGCCCTCTTTAGGGGTTCAACTTACAAGGAACGTTTGATAGGTTGCGATTTGGGTGTGTCTCAGGAAAAGCCCAACAAGGGTTGATGCTCTTTTGGTTGCCCTTCAAACCATCAAAACCTTTTGCCCTATTTAGGGGTTCAACACTAAAATCGGTGTTCCCCAACCAATCAGACAAGGAAACTTCATTTGTCCAAGAACAAGTTCCAGATTTCAGGCCCAAATCCCGCCTTCCACTGTGCCCGCATTCAACGGATCTGCGACCTGCACGTGCGCATATATTTTCCGGTGCCAATGTTCAAAGAAGTTGGGCTTCAAAGGGTTGCGTGAAGAAGAGGGGAGTGCTTGGTTCCCTTCTGTACTTGCCACTTGCAACCGCAACTCATCCATGGCTTGTTTATAAACAGAAACCCTTTTGGGATCTGATTGTTGCGGTTGTAAGGGAGTGTTTCCATTCTCTGTGCCCATCTCTCTTGCCATCATTTGTGGCTTGCATCCTGCCACAAATCACAGTCAAGGACACAACCAAACAACGACACAAACAACTACAACGCGCGAACCAAGGATAGAAAAGGAACACATTGCCGTATTTGCGACCCGTGGTTAACTCCCGAGAACACAACAACAATCAGAGATTCGTTGGAGGAGAAGGGACAGGGGACAAGTATTTAGTTCGTTTGCTTGTTTATGGTGTTGGTTGATTGCTTGATTGGTTGGTTGTGTTGAACTGTCCAAGCTGGATCTGACAACGCCCACGGCTTTCACAAATTCAGCCAATACCGCCCAGATCCCCTTCGCGGCACCCAACTCTCTGACCTGGCCCCATTCAAAGTCAGGCCCGAGAGAGTTGTCTACAATGCCAACATGTGCTCAAACGGCCTAGAAAACCTGGGGTCGCAAGGTTTTTCTTTTGCTTTGGACAAGTGACTCAAAACTCCAAAACACGGGATGCCTGTAACGGGCACCTTCCTCATCATGAGTGAGGTCGCAAACTAACCTCCGTGAGGCCGCTACAATTTGTAAAAACAATGGACTTGCTCATGTTTTCTGTGCGGCAAAAAAGGCTTGCCCAGGCAAACCAAGGAAGACCCCAACAAAGGGTAAGCCACCAACAACACAAACAAAGGAACATCCACAAACAGCAAAAGCAACAACCGCAGTCGTGTCTTCCCTCATCCTCCACTCGCTGCTAGCGCCATGGGCATTGCCCCGTTGCTCGGCCTTCGCCAGGGGTTCACCGGCCAAGCTCGCGATGTCCATCTGGGCGGCGAAGCCATTGCACACGGAGTTCTTCATTACGGAGGTGAAAAGGGTACCCTCAAAACAACGGAAAAGGGTTCACAGGAAACCAAAGACAAGCATACTGTGTGCTCTTTTTCTTGGGGGGGGGGGGTGGACAAATGTCCCTGCTTTTGGGCACACCAATCAACCGGATCTGACCTTTGACATCCAGGTTTCGGTAGGTCCATCCCTTCTTAGATTTGGCCAAGGAACCCGCGCCAAGTGCATCCACCGTGATTGTGGGATTTCATGGCATGTTTATTTTGGGGGAAAGTACCCCTGTGAAACTACTTGTTTGCCTTACCTTGCCTTCATTCGCTCTTTCGGGGTTCCATGATAACCTGCAGGGAGCATAGACATGGCCCCAGCAAGTGATCACGTTTGGCATCTAGATCTGTCAGTTGATGAAGTTAGCATACCCAGGCTTTGTTATACCAAGACATGGAAGTTACAAAACCAATTCAAGGGATTGTTGGCTTTCTTGGACCTGGTGTCTTGTCCCTCAAAACTTGACACAGAGCCCAACGGTCCAAAAGAAGATCCCATAGACTCCTCTAAACAAGAATCTGATTTTTTGGTTTCCGGCCATTTTGTCCGGGCATAACTTCCGCATTCTCCCCAAGCTCAGGGCTGTGCTCCCTTGAGGTCCGCAGCCGCTTTGGCGGCAGCGGCATGGACCACAGCCAGGGCCACAAGGCCTCGGAATAGTCGTGGCACCCTGCAAGCTTCCTACAGGGGCAGCATGGAAGCTTCTTACGCCTGGCAGGGGGCTTCCAGCATTGTTTCCACAGGATCCGCAAAGACCCAAATGACTTCGCACCGTGTTGCAGGCGTGTGTTGTGTGTGTGTGTGGCTTTTTTGGAGATTGATTGGCCGCAGTCTAGGGCTTCTGTTCCCTAAACCAGGAAGGAGAATCTACCTACTTGGATGTTCGGCCAAGTTTGTAAGTGGTTAGCCACTTGAGTTGTAACCCACCAATAAGCGGGTTGTCTCTGCTCCGGGTGGTCTTACGAGTGTGACCTAGGTTGCCAACAACTTGCTAACTTGGGCAGACACCCAAGTAACCAAGGATGTGTTTGTAGGCACTCTGCTTCGCACATCTGGAGCTCTTGCTCCAAGAACCTGAGCAAATATGTTTGTGAGTCAGCCGGATGCCCTTTCCATGGACGTGTCCTAAAAGCAGGGACACATCCTCGCTTTGGTGATTGCCTTTGTGTCTCCTGTTGAAACCGTCCACAAAGTGTGACCCCTGCTGTTTTGAAAGCCTTCCTGAAGTTTGGCACACACCCCAACGTCACAGCCCCTTTTTTGACCTTGTGCCAAACTGAATATGGCAACTCTCATGACCCGTTGATCATCCTTTTCGGACTATGGGAGGCCCTTGGCCTGCGCATTTGGGCAGCTAGGGACCCAAATGCCCCAGATATAGCTCTCTGAAGATCCAAGGATTCGGCAGAATCCCAAAAAAGCGGCTGACATGATCCAAGCAGCCCATTGACCGAGTTTTGCCAAGGATCCATGCTGACTCGAATGTGAGTTGTCCATAAACGGGATACGGACCCCCGAACATGAGTGATGTCCCTTTGGTTTCCGTGCACAACAACCCAAAAGGGTAAAGGTACCTCGATACCCCGTTTAGGCTGGTACCAGGAATGAGAAACCAAAGGACACCACGCATGCTTGGGGCTCACCCTATATATTTCAAGACCACCCAAATGCGGACAAGGAGCCTGCTGTGAATAAAGACCTGAGCTCCCATGCGCAGATTGCACGGATTGCGCCCCAAATGTCCGTCCTTGATCATGTCTTTTGAGGGGGGAGGTGGGGTTGTATTTTCCTCCGAGTAAGGTCTCATTTGCAGTAAAAAAGGAAAGCAACAAGCGGGAAAAGGGGAGAGTGCTTGCCGCGGTCTTCAGTTTCCGGTTGTAACCCCGACTTCTGAGATCAACCCACCAAAAAACAAGTCCGGATTGGGTAAGCACTTCCGCCCAATAAGAAAGGTCCACCTGATAACTGCAAACACAAAACCAAACCCTGGTGGGCCCAACACCAAATTAGAACAGGCCAACCCTAAATTGTCTGATCAATACTCAACCGCTATTTTTTCCCGTCCTCTCCTCCAGTCGTACTGCCTTCAGTCAGCAAGCTAAAAAGAGCAGCTGGTTGTTGTTGCGGTTTCCATTTATATGAATATCTTACTAAAGCTGCTCATGACCCAGCCCACCCAGGAGTGAACAAAAAATGACAATTGACAGCCCAAACTGGAACCAGGGACCATTTTATTTGGGGGTCTTGCTTTTCATTATTAGGGGCACCGGTTTACTTGCTCACATGCTAAGTGGATTGGTCAGAAATAAGCCAAGACATTTTGGCGTATCTAACCCACACAGTTTGAGTCCAACTTGGGAAAGTCAGCTTCAGCGTTCCATATCCGATCTTAGCAGAAGGTGAGTGGTGGTTTATGACGAGGTGCTGCATTGTTGCTGAGGGTGACGTCTGTCCTTGCAAATGCCAAAGGACAATTCAATCCCTCAAACGCAAAATGAACTTCCGCAAGCAACACGTCCCAAGAGGCCAGGAGAGGGTGAAAGGTGAAATGCTGAAAATAGCCAACACTCACGTCAGAGACACAGCAATCAGCCCATGTACACCACCGCCGGGGCTGGTTTTTTTACACACTGCTAACAGAACACATCCCCTTTGGTCTGTTTATGTGGGGGCGTGGAGAGCTCACATTGGTCAAACCCCAAAGCTTCACCTTTTCCACCGACATGAACCCACCAAACCAGCGTGACCTCTCCAAACGGCCAAAACACATCGATGCTTCAAGCCAACGGGGAGACTATGGGGAACCCCCGGAGCTGACAGGTGTCCTGCGCAGGCAACGAAGCACCACGCTGAGCAGAACTTGAGCCGCGAGGTGCGAAGCGACGACCGATTTGTTGGCGACGAGTCGCGCGACCGGCGAGTCACAAACTGGTCACGTTTGTCGATTTGTTGCTAGGTCCTCCAGTAGAGAGGTTCAAATCAGGGTACCCTTTCTTCTGTAGATTATTTTAGGGGAACCCTCCCCCCCAAAAAAGGGTAAAAGTTGATTCAAAGCTCAGAGGCTTGGACCTATCTGTGGAAAAGACCACCCGTACGACAAGAAAAGGATCAAATCACAACAAACCCCCTCGAGACTCGAGGGAAGGACTGAGGATCGGCTTCGAAAGCAGAAAGCTGCAGAAAGGGAAACCAGCGCCACAAGGGTCCTGTGAGCCACAACCCAGGATAGGCAGAACACAAGGGTGGCTACTATCGCAACTTCGGAGAGTTCCCTGTCCCACACTTGGGTTGCTTTGGCTCAGGTGGGGGGCAGGGGAGAGGGGGTGTTTGGAGAGAGGGCCGGCCCGGTCGGTTCAACAGTGGTCAAACAGGGGTGCTACTCGTTCATGAGTACAAACGGTGCGAAGAAGCAATGGGCTAGGTGCTTCAGAACTCTCATTCATAATAGATGTCAACAGATTATGTCAACATCATTGACGGCATGGCATCCATCTCTTATAGGGATACTTCACATCTGACGTAGAAGGTGTACTGTATGTTCCAACGAACCAGTTTCCTTTTGGGTACAAAACACTGGCTCCTTCGGGTGTCCTCTTCTTTTCGTGTCCTTTGGTTTCCCTTTTGGTCTCCTTCTTGGGTCAACATGGTCAAGCCAAACATACTGGCCATGTTGCACCTTGCGATACCGTGTTGTTTCTCCCCCAGCGGCCTTGCCCCCTCAACACCCCAGTCTCCAGCCACTGGAAGCTGCAGTACACCTCCTCCTGACCGCCCAATGGGGCAAATGCGAATGAGCAGCGCTTAAAACCCGATGTTGGCTCTACGAGGATGGCTAGTTGGAAGTATGAAAAAGGCCGGTGTCTTAAGTCCCCGTCAAACCAGGTAGTAGAATGCAGTTGTAAAGGGTAGGGCAGTTGGGCGCGCTCACAATGTGCCTAGGTGTCAAAACCAAATGCAGTTCATCATGGTTTGAGGGGAGTGATTGCCAGAGGAGTGGACTAAGTCCTCAGGTTTCAAACATTACATGATGTTCTTCCGGTTCCCGTTCTCAAACATATAGTAGGGGTTTTGTCAGTTCAACCTAAGTTTTGGGCAGCCCTGGTCCTTACTCCGTGCTTCCAGCCAGAAACCATTCATGGCAAACAGGAAGGTCAACCCTCCTTACCTACTGTGGTGGCAACGGGAACTACTGAGTACCATCAATCAGCTCTTGGGGTCTTAGCCCTGGAGGCGGCAGCCCTCGGCTTGGTAGGGATTTTGGACGGGCCGCAACAGAAGGGGCTAAGTAAGTATCCAAACATGAGTCTCCCATGATCATGAGACAATTTGGTTTCATTCCCCAACAACCCCATTCCACATATTCAGGCGCTTATAGTATCAACAACAATTCCAAAACGTCTAGTAGTGAATTATTTTGTGCCCTTGCAAAACTGAACCAACGGGGGAAGGCAATTGGTTGCAACTCCCCGGCCTTCCTTTTCTGATGGAAATTGCAGTCAAAAACTTCCTGTCTCTCTTTTTTTTGCTAAACCGTAAGAACGGAAGACTTCAGTGGTTTCAGCGTCTCTTATGGCAGAACGACGGCATCTAGCCTTCCCACAAGTTTTGAAGGCCCTGGCGCCTTTGGGTAGATCGGTCGCTGCTGAAAGCAACGAAGCGGTTACCGTTGGCTACGGAAGGTTGATCCAACCTCCGCACGGCGCTTTCTCAAGTGATCTTTCCTGCGGAAAAGGGCCAGTCAAGGTGCAAGTCATTTGGAAGGTTCAAAGCTCTACGCGTGCATTTACAACGTTTATACGCCCTGCAACACCATCCTGCAAGGAACGTCCATATGTTTTTTGTTTTATATAATATACCAAAGGACATCCAAACAAACAAACAAAGAAGTCAAAAAAGCCGAACGGAGCCAGGAATGTCCGAAAACGCAAAGCTGTACCCGCCTCCTGAATCGCAGGCACCTCGGACAAAGCCGGGCGCGGGTGGGGGGGGGGAAGCTGGGTGCGGGCTGGTTGACTTTAGCAGCTGTGGCTGCCGATGGCTGAACGTGGGAGCCCCGGAGCCCCCCGGCTGCTTGAGTCAGGTCCAATTTTGGTCCCGTGGCTGCGTACTAGTCGAGGGTGGTCCCCATGAACTGTCCAGAGGTGATAGCCGTGGCTCCGTGAGGGTGTAAGGATTCGTCTAAATCACAAAGGAGCTGGGACCGTTTAATAGGAACTGACTTCATTCAAGCATCAACACCGAGGGTGATCACATTGTGGGGAGTGCCATGACAAAGCTTGCTCAAACTTGGGACTAGCGTTGCAACCCATGGTGGCCCAACTGAAGCTGAGTTAGAAACTAGATCTGCGTTGAACAAGTGTTGTAAGCCAAGTGCATATGCGCCCATTCCTGGAAGGCTGCATCCAGAAAATTCTTCAAAACTGTCGGCAAACAAAATGGCCGCAAAGCATCTTTCCATACTGTCTCATGTGTCCTGACACCCCAAGGCGTGTCAAAGGCGAGTTCCCGCCCGCTCCCTATATTTTCCTCTTACTCATACGAAACTCAACCAACCCTGGCCCAGACGGCAACTTTGACACCGCCCAAAACGGTGGCAACACACAAGCATGCAGCCCAGCCCAGGAAATAATCCTGACGGTTTCACTCGAGGCACGATAATGATCCGCCTGTCCAAGCAGCTGTCAACTGGCCATGCACAGGCCACCTTTTTCCCTGCACGCATCAGAACACCAGGAAGGCGCGAGGTGAGTGATATGGCCTCGCATGCATTGTCCCAAGGGATCATGAGGTTGTATTCTCGCGTTAACTGGGCACGGGGCACCGCCCATGCGTTGTCAGTTATGCTCCGCTTTCTCCCCTTGCCATTTGGCAGAAGGGACGCCCAACTCATTCAACTCAGACTGGCATTTGGCAACCCTACTGGCATTTGGCAGCAGGTTGACATCATCAAGCCCTTGGCAACATCTCGATGCCGACATGGCATGAGCAATGTGTAGACAAGTGCAACTGGTCTTGGTTAATCATGGCAACTCACCAAGAAACAAATACGGGTTCTCTACAAAAGAAACCGTCATGGGTGAGGTCACGATCTTTTTGGTTGGTACGGTCGCAACAATCCGCAATAAATAGATTGTCAAAAGTTGAGATCCTGTCCAATGCAATACACAATTTGGATCCTTATATGGCATCACCTCCAGTCGGGCCCTATCCCTTTCGCTTCCATACACTTGCCTGACTATGGCATGGCTTGCTCGAAGCGGCATCTTCCGCATGTCAGTCCTCCGGGCTTGACGCTAAGAAAAAAAGCCGCGCTTCAGGCCGCGCTTGAGTCAGGTACTGGCGCATTCCGTGGGCCCAGGCACTTGGATGCACGGGATATGGGATGTGAAACGTATGAATCTCCCTGTCCCAAGTTGGGGCGTTCGACTGAAACCCTGGCCCAGTTGCTTCCCCACACCAATCTTTGAATGAGGTCCAGAAACTTGGGATCCGAGGCTCCAAACCCGAAACGAGCCAAGGCCTCTCTGCAGCGGTACACCTCCTGTGTCCCTTTAGGAAACAAATAATCAGGTCGGGGTCCGAACCATGAGCTAGCCGTCAAGGGAACGTGCAGACCTTGCCATGGCGGGAAGGAACCTGCACAAATGCCTGTAACTTGGTGGATATTGGCCCCTGCGCAAAAAATTGTAACTTTGTGTGGGCCGGCCTGGGCCGGTGGGACAATACACACTTCCCCTAAAAGTTAGAGGTCGAAAATACAACCCAAGTACCAGCCAAGGTAAATAGTGCGTCTCAACTGTGTCGGTGCAGACCAACGGCATCCGCATCCGCATCCGTTCCGTGTCAGGGCCGTGAAAAGGTTGAAGAACTCACTTGCCCAAATGACTGTGTGGGTGATCACAGTTCGGGTGATCGAGGCCAAGTTGCGCCAAAACTGGGAACAACCTCATTTTGGACAAACAAGTTCGCCAAAACCGGAACATTTCACCAACGACTTCTAAAGGCCTTGGCTTCGCAAAGGCGCAAGGGAAAAACGGCAGGCATGTTGGGCAAGCGAGATGTCAGCGATCAAACATCCGCAGGTCAGGAGATGCTGTCCTCGTCACCTCGGAAAGAACACCCTCACCCAAGTAACCCCCTTTGGTTGGCATTTGAGGAAAACCAAAAGGAGACCAACCAGTGAGTGGACCATTATTTTGAGAAACCCGTACACCGGAGTGCAAGGGCTGCCTTGATCCGAGTTTGGTGAGGTGTGATCAGCAACAACACCCTTCATGTCGACTCCCGATTCATCAGCCTGGTGGTTTTTTGTGGGCATGCTGGGCCAAAAAGGGAAGGTTATTCTCTACAATGGGATACCCCCCTCCTCATCAACCAGGCTATGTCACTCCTCCCTACAAGGAGAGAAGCAGACCAGGGGTCAATTCCCCATGCCCTGGCGGGATACGCCAAGCCACGAGAAAAACATGCCAAATCGTCTGCAACATGGTTACAACCAGGGGTTTGCTAATCCAGCGTTCCTATTACCGTGGTTGTGAAAGCGAATGATCCGTTTTTTGGACCCCTTGCAAAGGCGCACCTTTCACGCGTCCTAAAACGGAGAGCACATCCCAGTTCATCATTGCACCTATGACAATCGCTGTTCTTTGGGGTGTGGCTCGGCTTTCTTGGAACCTTCAACCAAATAGCGAATGCAACCCCCAAAAGAACGCCGGCAACCCTGTAGGCCTTCTGGCCTTCTGTTGCCCTTTCCAGGCTGAAGCCCTTCATTGGAAAAAATGTCTTTGTGGAGGTCCACATGGTGGCCTTGGAAGGTCCGCGTGTACACGTGGGCATGTCCAATTGGGACCCCCAAAAACGGTGTGCGTGTGTGTTTCCCTTTTGGTTTCCCCTTCAACAAATCCAACAAGGCAACCCTCGACAAAAACAGCCACCCACATGTCACCGGTGCCCCCTTTTCCATCTCTGCCAAGGTGCTGCCACCTCCACGATGTCAAGCCGCTCTTCCACACCTCCAGTCACAAGCTGTGAGATGTCTTCATTCCAGCTTTCAATTTCTTGGTGGAAGGGTAGACCACCATTTCTTGCTTTAGAGACGAAACATATCTGCCTTGGGCAAGCGAGCTTGAAGATGGAGTTACTCATGCAAACACCGGTGCAACGATACCCAACACAGTGACTCCATACCACTCTCTCTCTCTCTCTCTGTCTGCCTGTCTGTTGATCATTGTGAGCAAATCTGCCAAATATGCGGGTTGCTCAGGATGTGGCTGTCGAACAATCCCAATCCCAACGATCGTTGCGCTCGAGAGACGGCAAGGAAAAAGCCAGGCCCCCTGCGCTTGAGGTGTCCGACCAGTTTGTCCTTGACCAGACCAACTGACACCTCTAATTACTGTAGATGGACAAAATCTTGCATCAGTTGGGATGCATGAAGAGGAGTACGTACTGGAAACTTTTTTTGTTTCTCACCTCTTGGAGTGTCCTTGGACCTCCCCCCAAGTAGACCACCTGCCCAACCCCTTAATCCTGGGCCACAAGAATCCACTCCGGGTGGGCACTTCACCTAGCCTCTGGGCAAACTACTACAAAATCACAAGCCGGAAATAACGACTTCCCCCCAGCAAAGTACCGTCATGGGCTAAATGGCTTGTTTCACCCCCGAACCGGTGAGCTCCGTTTAATTTAACTGGTCCAAAATCACATAGCCTGAAAGAGGTTTGGATTGGTAGTGGAAACCCTAAATAAACCAATGGAGCTAGGATACAAACCTGGAGTAACATGACTTTGATGGTGCTTAAACCTAATTGATGTCAACCCAACTCGACCAGAGTTGACGGACGGTGAACCAGTCTGCCTGTGCTGTAGCCCTTTGACAAAGGGCCCCGGAAAGGTAATCGCAGGTGCCCCCCCCACTTTCACCGCGTGCGTAACCAAGTGGGTTAACATCCGAATAAAAACGGCCTCCCATTCGCGGGCTTGAAAACACAACTTTGCAGCTTGGGCCACCGCATCTAGGTCCTCCAGTAGAGCGGTTACAATAAGGGTACCCTTGTTTTTTCTGTAGTCTATTTTAGTAGGGGAACCCTCCCCCCCAACAAAGAGTAAAAGGGCTATGGGGGACCTAGGCATTGGCAACCGAAGTTGGCACAGCCCAAGTCCTGGTTGGCCGTCACGTCGTCCAGGCGAGCCAAGATCATGGCCAGCGCGGCGCTGGTGGCCCCTGGCGTGCGAGGGAGCGGCCGCGAGGCGAAAACCCACCCCAAAAGGGTCCCATGAAAACGACGCGCACACACACACACACACCGATATGAGGTCTACCGTGAGAAAGGATGATATCAATCTCTAACCCCATTTGCCACAATCAGGTGCCATTATGCACCCTCTTATCAAGAGAGGTCTCTACATCCGGAGCTCGGACCCCTCTCCTTGCCCTCAGGTAAGTCAGGTAAGTCATACTCAACATGCAGACTTGTTTTCACGCCCAAAGTAGAGTATCCCCATGAGGAACTGGGTTAAGTCGAAAACCACCAGTGAGTGAGGTCCCCATTGAGGCATCGGCCAAGACTTGTCATGAAACCCACCAGACGTCCCCTTTTGGCAATAACATCTGCTGAATATCTATTATCAAAAGGCTTAATGTGGGCGGCCTGAGTGGAGCTTCATCGCATTGCCATCCTCTACCATCTCAACGTGGGTGGAGGGGTGATTTGTTCTAGGCCATTCTAGGCCCAATCTCAACTCAACCCAAGCGACATGCCAGCGACATCGATGCCTCCGCTGTCAAGGGAGTTGATGCTGGTCTGTGATACGGAGGTCTGGGGATCTTCACTCTCCTTGGCTTTCCGCGATCCAGGCAAGATACAAAGTCAGCAACAAGGACAACAGAAACAACCAAACAAACAAACAAGCAAACAAACAAACGAGCAAGCAGGCAAGCAAGCAAACAGGCAGGCAAGCAAAAACACAAGCAAAATCCACACGGATACCGGGGGAAGAAAAAAACCGTCCTCCAATTCAAGCCACAAGGCAACCAAAAGATCGGTTCGCCGACTTCAATGGGAGATGCGCCTACTTCACTGGGCTTGGGCTGGTTCCTATTTTGGGTAGAGGCTTGCCTCAAGAACTTTGCGTCCGCACCTGGGCTCTTTACTGAGGCAGCGGCCGGCATCAGCTTGACGGTCACCTGCAAAGAGAAAATCATTCCCCCAAAGATATGGCCTCGCCTGAGCGTAGATTTATGGGCCTTGCACGACATTCAGCACAAAACAATTGCCCCCCCCCACCCATTTTTTAAAAGAAAACACAAATCATCAGTGTTACGTCTGATGATTGGTGGCTTGAGTCGGTGGCTGGAAGACTTGGAGGCGCTAAGCTCAAAAGCTTTAGACAAACAGAAAGAGGTCGAATCCCAAAGCAGCCCAAAACACCAATTCAAACATCGAGGATACCTGAACCTATGTTTCAGAGAAACTACCCTTACATGGTGGGCATTTGCCAAGGCAGATCCGAGTTTCATCTCAGTCAAATTTGAGTGACAGTTATCCGTGCATGACACGATGCTAAAATTAACTTAGCATCTAAACACGAGAAACCTGGAACACTGATCCTCCCTTAGGCTATCACGGACTTGAAAAGCAAAGTCCCCTCAAAGAGTCCAGGGATCCTAGGCCCGCTTGCGGGCTTCCTGCGTCCCCTTAGGAATACTAGACACCCGATTGAGCTCCCAGCTCTTTACATGTTCAGTGGCCATAGAAATCAAAACAACACCCCCCCCCGATCCAAGCGCCACCGATATGTGTGCAGGGGGTCATTTGCGGCCTCCACCAAAATACAGCAACATAATGGTAAGTCCAATTACGTACCTTAGCACTGAGACTCCAAGACTGAACCCCCTCCCAGATGTTTACTTCTTGGGCATGAAGCCTGATTCAACACAAACAAACTGCCACAAACACATCAAACACAGAACGCACTTTGGATAGTCACCATGGACCGCTCCCTCTTTGCCCGGTTGAAGCTCTATGTCCGTATCCTGAAGGGGTCACAGCTTTTCGATTGCTTTGCAAAGGGTTCCTTCTTCCGGGACCCCCTTAAATGACGGGATAGAGTTCTTTGCCCGACGAAAACAACCTTCCTCGAATAGAGTTCTACACTACGAAAGAACCCCACACTGCCTACGCGGTGAGACGCTTTAAAGTAGTGGCGTTCAGCCCTAAATCACTGGAATTCCTGAAGGACCTACAGAATAAAGGGATGCGGGGCCTTTTCTCTCCGCCTCCGAGTCAACCAGGTGAGTGATCATTCACCAGGGGCAAACAAGCAACAACTTGCCCATGTTCCGCCGATCTCGAGCTCACAGAAGCAAAGAAAAAGACAAACACCCAAAAAATCATGCTTTTGGCCGGGATGGCTGCGTTTCCCGCTTCCCGAGTGGATATTTTTTCCAAAGAACTTTCGAGATGTGTGTTGGCCACCAAATTCCGGCACTCCAAAGTTCAGAAACTCGTGCTGGCTATAAATCAAAGGAATGATCCTTTTTGTCCCACTAACCATTGTCACAACCTTGCTCCCGCCTTCACTTCGAGATAGGCCTCGATTCCTCGGGAATCGAACGCTGACCCCGCCTGAAAGTGTTTCGGCCCCGATCGGTTGCTCCGAATGAAGAAACACATACAACTGGAAGCCCTGCAAAAGTTATTTGGTTGCTGCTCAACTGTCATTCTTCAAAAGGTTGTACCAAACAGCGGCCAAGGGTAATGTTCGCAGACTTCTCAAATTCCGGCCCCATTTTGAAAGTTTCAAGGCAATCCCAAATTACGATCGTCGGTGTGAGGAAAGCACACGCATGGCCCACCTCAAGTCTTGCGAGGATCCTGAAGAAACGGGATCCTCATCCATCTGCCTTTGGGCTTCAACATGAGAATTGGTCCCAAGGCCTAGGTTCCCTGATGGCCCACTGCCCTTACGTATCCTGGAAGCAACTTTGGTGCCAAGTGGGGCATAAAGGACAACAGAAAACTGGTCAATGGGCACCCGCGAAGGGCCACTGGTGACTAGTCTCAGTTGCAATGCTCCGTGCATCGTGCATCTACAGAATTCCACAAGTTGCCCGACAGGTTGGACCACCTGCTTGTTCAAACTCGTTTGAACCACGTGGGTTGGTTTAGGGTGGGTGTAAGGGCAGGGTAGGGCGGACTTGCCAGAACTGCCAAAAGCCAACAACAAATCAAACAAAGCGCACATCTTAACAAACGGCCCCCCATATATGCAGCCCTGCTTGTCCCAGTTGCCCAAAGGATTCTACCCACTTTGACAGTTCTTGAGATGGGCTTCCCTTTCATTTCGGGCAACTAGAGCTGCAACCCCCAGACCTCCAGTGGCCATGGGACAAACAGGGCAGCTCGTCTTGGCGGTTGATTTGGATGGCCCTCCGAACAGAAGGTACCAACCCAGTGCCCCACTGGAGGCCTGGGACCTCAACCCGCGTTTGATCATTTCCAGCCCAGGTGCCTTTCCCAGCGCCGGTGAGCCGCAGCTCCCCCTCGAAGCCCTGATCGTGAGAACGGCGAAGCTCGATTACATGAGACATATTCAAACCACTCGGCAAGTATCTTCCAATAAAAAACCAGCCTCTGTGAAACTAAGTCATGATTCAAAACCACTCGGCAAGGTGCATAATCGAAACTCACACTAGTTCAATGGGTGGGAGTGTCAGCGGGGTTTCGTACGCGATCCGATCCAGGCGGCTTAAGCATATTCAGGAATCTGAAAGGGACACCCGGCAGACAATGTACAGCTCTTTGCATGAGAGTGGCACGCATCCTCTCATGTCTGGGATTCTTGAATCCTTGAGGGGAAAAGAGTCCACTTTGCTGCGCCCGGAAGATTGCCTTTTCAAACCTGTGTATTAGAACCGGAAAACAAAAACATGTTCCCTTGCTGGTGCTCAGTAGGGAATGACCCAGGGTGTTGCGAATGAACCGGAAGGGGATTCCTTAAAGGAAACCATAGAGGATGGCTTGTAGGGGTCATTCCCTCATTCCCTGCTGAGAAACTGCAAGTTCATTGCAGCCTGCAAAAAATGGCCAGAACCCCAAACCTCGGCCATGAACGGGGGATCGCGCAAGCTGGGTCCGTCCAGGCAGTCTCGGGCAGATTTGTGGCGGTGGGACTCCTCTAACGGGGATCCTCTTGCAGGTTCCGTCCAAACCATCCAAATCCGAGCTGTCCGACCAGTCCGATCCGTCCGAGCTGTCCGACCCGAGGCGTCCGAGCTAGTTAATTTGCTTCGGGGGGTAACACCGGATCTATTCCCTCCTCTCTCACAAAGTGGCTCATGTTGAGGACCACCGTGAGCCACAAGCTGCGCCCTTCGCTCACAAAGTGCTGCCTTTGGTGCATGCCACTGCGCCGCCATTGAGCTTTACACTGTGCCCCGTCACTGGCACCTGGATCCGGCTGTATGCCTCCTGAATCTTGCAGCTCGGCCGCGTCACCGGCTGTCAACTAGTCAACGCCGGGCAGGTGGCGGTTGGGGCGCCTGGCCAGTTCCACTCAAAGAGTCCGACACAGCCTGCGCTAGGCTGGCTCTCTGGGCGTTAGCCTTGGTATGTGTGATAGTCCTGTTTTTTTGTGGATCCCGAGACCTCTCGCTGCACGGCTGAGGGCTTGCAGGATCCTCCGAGAGCTTTCGGTTCTTCCAAACAACCTGCTCGCAAATTCTCATGTCTGGATCCAGAAACAAGCTGGGGAAGCGGCCCCAAAAACACCAACCTTTGAGCGAACTCGTCAAAGGCCAAGGCCGCTCCGGGCGGATGCCCTATGGCATGCGAACCAACCACGTGGGGAAACGAGCCTACAACCTCAGCAATTCTTGGTCCCAGCCGTGGCTAAGCATAGCTTAGATAGCACAGCTCCAGCAGTACTTGTGATCGCAGCTTTTGCTGCATGCTTCCCCATCTGGAGTTTACGGCTTGTGTCTTTGTCGAGGGCGACCCTTTCTGGGGTTACTTCAAAGGGACAGCAGGTCCCATAGCCAAGAAACCCCGCTTCGGTGGCCAAACGTTTTTTTTATTATTATTATTATTGTTTTCTGTTAAGGGAAAAGTAATTCGCCAAAATATTGTTGCGCTCCTTCCAAGAATCGTGGAAGTAGACAGGCCTTTTCGCAGGACTCTGCCAACACCCAGCCAGCTTTCATTGTCGGAAAGTGGGTACCGGGTCGAAGGTCGCGGCAAAGGTCGAGCTGTGAGCAGCCGGCACCCTTTGTTCAAAGGCAACGGAAGGCTTTCTGAAGAGGATTGCTCTTTTCAGCCAGTTCCACGATAGGTCGCACAAGGGAATCCAGTTTGGGCTTCACAATTTTATTGGTGAACCCAAACAAAAGGGGGGGCAAAACGTCCTTGGCTTTCTCGAAACCGATTGAAGGTTTTTCTATATTTCCTCTTTAAACCCAACCCAGCAAAAGGAATCCCCTTTTCAAATGCACCCCAAAACTTGACGTTGAACCATCCACGGAAAGTGGAGGGAGCCAGAGAACCCGCTGGAGCGCCTGCGGGCAAAAGCGGCCGCTTTCCAGGACCGCAGAACCCAGGAAGTCATCCTCCTGAGCGAGCGAGTGCTGTTGGCCCGTCAAAGAGACCGCTTGTGACCCTTTCTGACCCCAAGCGTCATTGGACCCTCCAAAAAGGTCAGGACCTCCATAAGGGCACCTTAAAAGGGCACCTCAAAAGGGCCGTTGTCAAGGCCCACGATGCTTCGGGGAGCGGCCCCTTTGAAAGGTGATTGTTTTGCGGGGACCCAGGGGCTTCAATCTTTGCAACAGCGGGACCCACAGGGCAGGGGGCAAGGGTAATGTAGAGTCCGGACCCTCCAAATCCCAACCCTTCAGCACACGACCTTTCTTCTTTGGGCCGGGCAGGGGATTGAGTAGAGTTTCGGTTTGTTGTTTGGCTCGTGTACGTACCCCGTGGCCCAACTCTGCGGTACATCGTCTATATATATATATATATATATAAATAGTCTACCGTAAAGTGTTGCGTCATTTGCGCGAGGCCTATGATACCTATGCCGCCCTCTGAAACCTAACCACACCAAGAGGAAACTCTTAAACCCCCCCTCTTTTGGTGGACCCCCGCTTGGCGCATTGCGACTGGTGCCTTGACAACGGGCATGTCTTGGTCGAAGAGCTGGAACCGGAGGTGCTCTCCGGCCTGGTAGTCGGCCATCACAAACTCCTGCGCGCTGAGAGCTGGCGACGGGCATGCCACGCTTTCAGGGGAATCACACGTTTGGGTTCGGGGATGTTTCGGGAATGCGCCGTTTCTCAGTTCCTGGATTCCTTAGTGGATTGGCCAGAAAAACAAACAACATGGTCCAGAAACTGGGAAAGTGAGGTTTGGGATCCCTGAAAGGAAACCACTGTTGGGATGGTTTAGCACTGTCCCAAGTACACTCCAATCCACCCAACACACTAGAACACTAGATTCATTAGGGTCAAGTTCTGCTCTCTCTCTCTCTCTCTCCCTCCCCCAAGAAATTTGACTAAGGGGCGTTCGCGACATGCTCACTTGCTGAGTCACAATCACAACCTGGTAGTACCTAGCACCATGCAAAGAATCCAGAGGGCAAATGTATCCCCCTATCTACCCGCCAAATCTATTAATCCAAAGTTGACACACATGTCAACTTCGCCGTACAAATCAGGCGTGGTTCCCTCTGTTCCAGAGGCCGGTACTGATCCAAAGCCAAGGGGAACCATGTAGAAGGTCATGGCCTTGAATGGTACTCAACGGCCCGAAGTCTCACCATTGCTACTGTTGCTATGGCTCCCCTTCCCATGTCTCTGAATCAGCATGCGTCAAAGGCCAGGAAGTCTCCTCGTTCCACGCTGGCGAAAGATTGTCCTCCGCAAAGCTTCGTGGCTGGGCATTGGAAGTTGCCAACACCCCCACCTCGGGGGAAAACCTGAGGGGTCCCTTTGCATGACATGCTTGCCCTTGTACGGAGAATAACTCTTCATTCAGGAACCCCGCCGCAGCCTTGAAGGACCTGGAAACTCAGATGAGCTCCACTACTCCCCGAAACACCACCTTTGTATGGTGGCTATTTAGGCGGCACTACAAATAAATGAACAAATAAAACACAGACACAAACATCAATGAAACAGCACAAACACACACTAACTAGCATAACATCATTACATATATATATATACATACATATATATATACATAGTGTATACCATTGCCGTCGATAGTGTTTCGGGGGTCAGTTGGGCCCAAGTGTGAATCAAAAGTTCATCTTTAGGTCCGAGAACTAACCCACAGTGGCTTGGGACCCCCCCCTCTCGCCACCCAAACTAGGGCCCTCCTCCTACGACGGGATACTCAGCGCCCCTCCCCGCGCCCTTTTCCATACCACACTGTTTACCCGATTGTGACCCGGCTTTCCTTTGGTTGAATCAAAATGAAGGTGGTCGTCTAGTGGCGGGAAATCACTACTGCAAGAGGGTCACCCCTTGTGACCGAAGAAAAGTTGTCAAAACCCCAAGTGCAGAAAGTGATTTCAGCGGGGCGAGTCAAGCAAAAAAGAGCTCTAGAACTATTCAACATGTGCCATGTGTTTTACTTTGGGACAAAGGACAATCGCAGACAAGTGGATGATCTATTTTGGCACCCAGTGATCGTCCAAATCCTCGAGGGTACCATCCCTACCCAAAGTGTGCTTCGCCCACCGCACTCATCAAGCTCGGATGGTGGCTCAAAACAGGTGCAACATGGTGCACCAGCCGTGCCGCAAGACAAGAGTAATATGGGTTTGTCTCTAAATGGTCGACCTCACCAAAACAGGCGGTTTCCCTTATTTCCATTTCAACCAACCCCAAGAGAGGGTACGCTCAAACAAACACCTAGATGTGTCAACCATCACCGCCACTCCACGTGCGCACACACACACACATAGACAAGCAAGCTGGCGTCGAGACCAATGCCAGCTAGTGCTGTCCACCGGTAAGACACGCGGAGCACAACCCTAAAAAACCTTGGGGCGATGATCAAGGAAAAGCAAAACAAGCTACCAGCAAAGGACGTGCTAGGCGTGCTTTGGTTTGAGGCACCACCCTTCGGAAACACTGAACGTGCCAGACGTAGATTGGCCAAGGAAGACGTTCCTGGTGTTTTCAGAGGTGCCTTCTTCGGAGCTTCGCCAGACTAAGTCAAAGTGTTCGCTTGTTGAAGCGAAAATGAGGGAACCTCAAACGGGCGAAGGTATTGAAAGGTGAGTTTAGCCAGGCAATGGGAGGAGATCCAGGGTCGGGCGTTTCTCTAGGACACTGGACTCGGAAAGGAAATTTCCCAATGGCCATATCTGCCACTTGAAAGGTTTCCTAAATAATACAATTGGGCCAGAGAAGGGGGCACCTTGCTCATTTTGAACAAGCTTTCCTTGGCCTAAAGTTCTGGTCTACCCCTGCAGCACCCCTCGCGTCTGCGGAACATCGTGCCTTCACCACGCTGGTGGCGATTCCGGTATTGGGCTTGCCAAGAACAACGCCTCGAATCCGACAGCATAAGCGGGCGCCAAATAGGGTTCTGGCATTGTTTGCTTAAATACTTAGCACAGGAGGTAACATGCAGTGGTACACCATTTGCAATCCCCGACACCTACGACATATGTCCTTGAACCTCTTGAACACAAAGGGCTCGAACTCAATGTCGCTTCACCACAAGATGATGACTGCAAGTATTCCAGTTCTGTGAAACCTGAATTCCAGCACCTCGAGCCCCTTGATTCACAGGGGGTCCGAACAAAAAGCCATCTGCTTTTGGCTTCCTTGCGGGAAATCAAACAAATAGGCTACTCAAAATAACACCGGGGCCTCATGTGTGCGATTCTCGGCACCCTTGTTATCAGGGCAAAATTTGCCAAGGATCCAAAAGGTTGCGTCATGTGCATTCTGGCAATTTTCTTGTCAGTGGAAAACAAGTTAGATTTGCTCACGATACTCCCCCTTGCATCAGCAGCAAGTTTCTGGGAATTTATTCAATTGGCGTCTAAACAATTTAGATCCATGCTTTCGACGAACACGATGGAAACAAATCGAAATGCCACTACACAGAAGGTGGAGCTGTCTGAGTAGACAATCCTCACGCTGAACGATGCCATGGAAGCAAGTTCACCCTTGCAGAATCACACCCACAGCTCTCCCGCTCGCAGGACCTCTGAAATCCGTGGCAAGTGGCGTTATAAGTCACGGCCAAAGCAGGGCTACGCAGTGGGGTATGTGCCAAACTAGAAGGAGCCGAAACTGGTTGCTTTCCTCTTGGCTTCCCTTTAAATTAACCTGGAAAAGGAACAAGCAAACTACACACACAACACACAACACACACACAACACACACACACAACACACACACACACAACACACACACACAACACACACACACACACACACACGCAGCTGGTGTCTTTGGGGTTGTCATGCCCAAGCGCGCACTTCTGGGGACCGAGCACTTGCAGTAAACATCCGACTTGCCTGGCCGAGCCGGGAAGCCCCATTGGCAGCTGCAACTGGGAAACAAGTAAAGGCGCTCGAACCTCCGCTAAGCGTTATCATCCCAAAGATGCTTCAACCGGAACTACGATCTTGGCGTTGTGCCGACAAAGCGAAGGAAGAAACCGCAGCTGCGGAGTGCTGCTCACCATCCAAAAGAAGCGTGTCCCTGCAAAAAATGAATGGGGCCTTGAAAGAGGCAGTTTTCCTTTCGGTGTCAATTTCACAGAACCAACAAGGGGTTGAACACATGTAGATAGCCTCGCCTAATTGTGTATGAAACGCCAATGCGCAACTGCGCTTTTTGTGGCCTCTTGCCACTAGACAAGAGCCAAACTATCTTTCTTGATATTCTGAAGAACTTCGTCTTGGGCATGTTCAACCCCACAAAGCAAATAAGTAAAGACGCCCCGAGATTAAGCAGTCAATTTCAGTGGATTCTTCACGAAAACAAGCAACATGGAAAGGGCAACTCATCATACCCATCTTCACCCGTATTTGCTTTCAAAAGCCTGAGCAATTGCGTAAGTTGCCTGTGGATCCAGTGCAGCTCCACAAGGATTGCTACAAGGAACACAAGCCTTCCAAGTAATAGACCTAAATAGGATCAATGATGCATCTGCTTTGCTTTGTTGGTCTTAGTTTGCACTTGCTTTAAAACTGGCTTCAGCGTGGCCCAAACATGGGGGCAAGTCATCAGGGTACGGTGAATGACCCAAATTTTGCAAGCCAGGGAACAGGGGCACTCATAGTAGTTGCCGCAAGTCCCCATGTTACTTTGGTTGGGCATCGGTTGGTTCGCTTTGCTCCAGACAAAGTCGAGAGCGGAAACCCCGCTGGAGGTCTGGTCTGTGACTCCGGTTGACAAAGGACGTCGAATCCCAGCCGGCCTGTGAGGGGCACCACGTCTGCATTCCTCAAGCCCCTGGCGCGCAGGATGTGCACCTGGAATCGACGGAGGTGGTGCCCCTTCTGGGGGCCGGGGTCGGGGGGGTGTCAAGCGAAGTTGAGTCGTCAACATGGGAAAACCGTGTTCGTAATTATTCACCCCCATGGAAACCATCTGGGAAAGTTATCCAGCCCCTTGTATTTGCGCCCCAACATGGGTCCGTCCTTTTTGCGAGGGGGTACTTTCAAGTGTGTCAACCAGGAGTGTACCTCAGAGGCCTTCAGGAAAAGTGACCGCAAGGTTTCGAGCATCTCTGCCTCAACCCTCGGAAACTCTCCAAACTTGCATCGGACCCCCTGCAACAAGGATGATGTTTAGAGGTATCCTTCTCTTGTGGGACCCCTTTTTGGGGAGTTAGTTGCATACATATGAGCAGCGCCCGAAATCCCTGTTGGCCATCTAAATCGAGGGCTCTACTACCTGGTTGAAGGCATCTCCGGTTTGGGTACCGCCTGTCAATGCTCTCGAAAGGTCCCACATTCTGCTGTGCACGTGGGCCATCCAGGTTTCCCAGAACAGCCTACAAGGAAAGAACGGCCTGCAAAGGAGATGAGGGTCTGAAGCTGCCAGCTTACGCGATGAATAAGCATGGTAAGTTTATTGGTTATTCAAGTGTTTGCTCCAATGAAATGAGGGCTTGGCCGGTTGCAGTTTTGGCCCCAGGTGAAAGCTTTGGGGTCTCTACCCAGATAGGCCCCCGAGTGGTTCGTTTCTGCTCCAGGGTTTCGGGGTTGCTGTTGCGGGCCGCGGGTGTGGACATGTTTGGAAAAAACACTTAGCGAGAGTGCTGATGCAGGGCTTGTACTTTTGGGGTAGCGGAAACCCTCTTGGAGCAAACAACATAGGGCTCTGGCGGCAGTAGATCTGATAGCTATATGTGAGGGTCTCAAAATCAGGGACCGAGTTGATGGGTGGCTTCGCTTTGGCTTCCCTGGAGATGCCAAAGAAGCAAGCTTCCTGGGGAAAACAGCCCAGGTGCTATCCCCTGTCCAAAAAGCAGGCAACACCAGCACCAATGATTGGGTGCGGTCGCTCGTTTGGTTATTGTTTTCCTTGGATATGTCTGTCCACTATGTTGGAGAGTGTGCGCGTTGTTCCAACACTTGGTGACCCCTATAAATAGCTCCGTTGCAAACCACACCGGGTGTTCCCACGCACAACTCATATTAAGCCATTGGCAACGCGTGGGGAGTTGCAGCGACCCGCTGAGTTTACTGGCCGGACAAGGATCAAACATTTTGGGCCATGACTAAATGATGAAGACATCTGCCAACAAACCGTTCAAAGTTGGGAAACTGAACCGGGAATGCGGGAAGCCAAACTGCTTCTATCGCATCCCCGCAAATAGGAAACCACAGTAGCAAACAGTTGAAACTCCCTTCCCTCCAACAAAAACACACAAGTCTGCCAAGTCAACCGGTAAGTCCAGGATCGACCCGAGGCCTTAATGGACTCCACCGATGGCGGCGCCGGCGCACCGGTGCCTTTCTCTTCCAGGGCACCTACCGGAAGCGGGCCTCTGGCTTTACCTCTGGCCCAACCAATGGAGGTCAACCCAAATGAGGCCATGGCAAGACCCGGACCCCTTTCCCAAACAGCTCGGGATTCATAGGTACCGAAAGAAGCCAAAGGCCACATTAAAAAAAAAAAAAACCACAAAACGCTTGGCGGTGCAGAGGCCCTGGTGGAAGAAGGATTGGACCATGTGTTTGGGTTGCCTTTTTTTGGGAGCCCATCAAACACAAATGCCATTTGCCAATCAACTCGCTACGGCTTTTGTGCTTGGATTGAGTTGAATGCAATATCCATCCTTCCAACAATCATGGAAGTTGACAGACTACTCTAATCTTCAACAAACTTCCTGTCCACACTTGATTGTGGGTCGCAAAGGGTAAACATTGCGAGAGAAACAACAAACCATCAGAGAACCCGCGGATAGCGCCCCTTCTCTTCGAGGGTTCTTAAACCGGAAGCCAAACATTTCGGTTCCACTCAATATTCAGTCAGCAAGACTCGCCAAAGCCCGCCGTTGCAATGTGGGCTTGTCTCAAAGGAGGACCCAACCGCACGGGCTGTTTCGCACAGATTTACAAAAAACCTCTGTCGAAAAAACACACGCTTCTGGTTTCTCCAAATCCGCAGTAGGCGAGTAATTCTCCAGAGGTTCCGGAGCTCCCCACAAAAGCGGAACAGCTTCTGTTTAGTCTCACCCGGTGTTGGCAAAGAGATGTCTCAAGTTGAACCCTCCTTTCCCTTCGTTTCCTTTCGTTCCCTTTCGTTCGGGAAGTACCTTGGCCAAGACTTTGGGCCCTTTTCGCTCGCGCCCCTCAAACCTGTCGGTACCAAGGGACCCTCCGAGCCGCTGAACCCCACCTGCCGCTTCGAGGCGGTGCTCCAGCATCCGCACGCACCTCACGAGAGGCCAACCCAAGTTCTGGCCGTCGGCAAGTAGGCTTCGAAACATATGATGAATACTATGAATACTCGATCAACCACATTGCCAGCAGAAACCGACAAGGGGGCTATCTGGCCTACCCAAAACCAATACCCAACAACCTGCAAAGCAGATAAGGGACCCACAATCAACACCCTGACGTGGGACTGGCAAGATCGGAACCTGTGGTCCTTTCCATCAGGATTCATACGCGAGCAGCTCACCTGCCACCCTTGATGGTTGTCTCGAACCTGAGGTAGCTCACCCGCATGCACAAGTGGTGCGTGATTGTTTGCAACATCAGAATAACTAATAGCGGATACGACATTTGAACACATCGCTCTGAGTCTCAAGCTGGCAATATGGGAATTCCCGGTAAAGGATCTTCATCAGGGGTAAGCTCGTTCAACCACCAGGACCAGGCTCGTTATAATTTGCCCAGCTTCAATATTGACCCAACATGTAAATGCTATCCAACCTCGGCGAATTGTGGGCACTGGTCGGCCAGTGTCTTTCATGGAATCCTTGCGCTGGTCACATTCCTTTCAACTTGGTGAATGACCCGAGTTGACGCCCCGCAACCAGGTCTTCTGACCTAATATACGTCCAATTGATTCGGGCGCCATCAACAAGTGATCGACATTCACCAGTCATGACGGCTTCGCTTCATAACAACAAGGGGAGTTAAGATTTGACCGGAGCACATCCAATGTCTCAGCCCTGGTGCCATCCGGTCGCCAAAACTCGGGCCAGCGCTTCCGCAGATCTGCGATATCCGTGACTTGTGCACCATTTCCGCCCTGGCAGTGACCAAGGTTCGGGCGAACCAATGAATGGGCTCCAGCTACGGGAAAACCAACGGCCCCCAAGCTACAGGAAAGGGCCTACAATCCTCTTAGAAGGGTTCGGAGAACCTGGGCGTTCAATTTGGTCTCTCCTGAATCCGGTGGGGTTCTTGAATGAAACGAATCATGTTCATTCGATTCGATAGACGCGAAAACACCAGTTCTCGGCTTCATGCCCTTTTTGGATGGCCTTACCAACATGTGGGACACCTTCAAGGGAGGGTCCCAACGCAGCCCAGACGACGACAACTACCTCACATCCACCATAGTGTCTTGCCTCAAGATCACCCCCAACCAACCAACCGACCGACCGACCGACCGACCGCCCAACCCAATCGAAGCACCTTGACTCATCATGGGTAAGCGATGCTGCCCAAACTAGCTGCATACCCTGGTTAACGATACACATCCAGGCCAAGAGCAGGCGGAAAGATCGGGTAACATGTTGAATGTCCTTCAGCCTCATTTCCCCAAAAGCGCCCAACCAGGAAGCCACGCTTTGTGAGGCATTGACTGCGGCCTCTGGCAGCATGCGTGTTTGAAGCTCGCGCAAGTACTGCAGAGACAATCCTGCAACTCACCATTAGAGACCAAACCAGAGTCCCCACCGACAAAGTGCCAAGAATCGGCTTGAAATGGGGTTGCCGTCCCCTGTCCAATCTTTGCACTCTGTTCAAACCGGCCTTCTGCGCGAATTACCTCATGCTCCGCCATTCAAACCTCTTCCTCTAAGAAAAGCTACGTTGGGAAGCGAGGCTTAGTCTTTAGGGGTGCCGCATGGGTTCTCAGGAACTTGTTGCACGATGTGTACGCAACGTTGTTGGCAATCAAACATTGCATAAATCCTGTGTCATCTTGGCGCGTGCAGCACAAAACAGGCAGGGCTCCATATTCTGAATATGTCTTCCACACTAGCCCGAACCCACAAGTGGGGGAGGCTACTCCTTCCCAACACCCAAACCAACCATGCATCCCCCAAAACCCCACAAACCCTCCAAGCCTCGCAAGCCTCAAGCCCCCAAGTCTTGACACCCCCGACCCCAACGGGCCTTCAAGCGAAGGACGAAGCTCACGAGATCGGCAAAGCTCATAGACCCATCCCGGGTTCCGTACTCCGCCTGACATTTGCGCCAGCGGTGCTAGGGATGGGATCCCGACCGAGCAGGGCCCAAGGTGAAGCTCGGTTTCCCTGAGGATCCAGTGGCACAACCTGTTTGAGTAGTGTTTGAGGGGTGAACCAGTGGCCGTTCGGTACCCGAATAGAATCACGAATCTTGTGGGTTTGAACACAAAGTCAGGTGTCTTTTCTTTGGGCCCTTGAGGCAAGTGTAGCTTTGGCGATCATCCACCCAGGATTATTAAACCCTGGCTGATTGAGAGGAGGGTGTCCCACTTTGGCTGGGACCCTTAGTGTTTTGGTGGAAACGTCTTCCTGCCAATCTGTCATGGGTTGATTAACCCGAGGTCAACATGATGCAGCGCCGTAACGACTGTTGGGTGGTTGGCCAAAAGAAGGTGGAAAAGGTCGACGAATATGAGCAGGATTAGTGAAGATCATGAAGAAGAAATCAGTCACACCAAATGAAATGGTCTAGGGGGCCAGGCGCCTCAACCCCTCGCGGTGTTGGAGGTGTACTTCGCCACAAGCAATAATCCGGATGGTCGCGAACTGTTCAAGTTATTACTAGCCCTAAGGATCCCAACTCTTTTCGGGGCGTCGTTTGGCATCGGGCCCTCAGGGACAGAATGGCGAGGGGCCATAGAAACACGACCCCTCGTAGCGAGGGCCCCGCTGCTCGGGGTCTGCAACCACTATCGATCATTCAATAACAATCGCTTTGACAGTTATTGGCCGGCACACCGTCCTGGCCGGCAAGCAACAGATTCAGTTGCCACGGGCAAATCGGTAGGCCCAAGTATTTCCTAGCAAACACAGATCTCGGACGGCTTTGTGACATCTGCTTTCCGACGGCGTTCTCACTCATGCTGGCATTCCGCGGTTTCTGAAAACTGTCCGACGGCTTTCCGACGGCTTCCCGACGTTTCTGACGGCTTCCCGACGTTTCCGACGGCTTCCCGACGTCTTCCTGACGTTTCCGACGGCTTCCCGACGTTTCCGATGGCTTCCCGACGTTTCCGACGGCTTCCCGACGTTTCCGACGGCTTCCCGACGTTTCCGACGGCTTTCCGACGCTCGGGCCCTCGCGGGCCCTCGGTTTGCCTAGTTTTGAGGGCCCAATCGTTAGCTTCCCGACGTGTTTCCGACGCCAGACCTTGACGCGCGCAGTTCTAATCGGCACTCAACTGGCCCATAAATACAAACTGCATGTGACTCTGCGCCATTGCAAGCCAATAGCAGCGATAGCGCGTATAACCAAAGGAATTTTGCACGGCTCATGGGCTTGTCAGACACACACACAAACAAGCAAAGTCAGCAACATTTTGGCAAACACGGGAGAACACGGGACTCCTGTCAAGAAGCTGCGAAATATCAAAAGATTGAAGACGCATCACCAGCCCACAAGTACATCCGAAACAACAGGTAACGCGTTAGCGATAAGACTGTGGACTCAAGCTGCCCAGCCTTCACCCATAGCGCCTGGCCTTTTTTCACAATTATCTGAAAAGCGAATTTTGTTCTGCGCATGGGTGTCGTTGCGGCCAGTGGCCACTTGGGTTTCAGACCTTGTCGCGTGCGCTCAAAACGGGTCTGGGCCCCCGGGGCGTCGAACTGTGAACTGCCAGAGCCCCGGAACGTCGTCAGCAGGGTATTTAGGCCGGACCCTTTCAATGCACATCCCGACCCTTCCAATGCACATACCAAAGAGCCTTAGGGAGAGTGCACTTTCAAGAGAAGGCAATAATGTGGGACGTTCTATTGCCGAACCCTGCTTCTCCTCCCTTTTTCCCGCAAAGAGTGTCAAACAGTAATCCTGCTTTTAACGATCACTGTGAGCGTTCCTTTTGATGCAAGGAAACTCTGGCATGATCCAGGAGCTTTGATCATTGCAATTTGGGATCATAGAAACACCGGCTTACGAAAGGGTCCCGGCATCGGTACCCACATGCGTTACCTGGGGGTCGGGGTACCTGAGCATCTTGGAGAGCCTTTCTAAGGGAAGCACCGACTTGATACGACCTAGCCCCAGTGCTTGAAGTCACCGCTGTAGGTGACCACATCACATATGTTCTTACCTGCAGGTGTTACTTGGCTCCTTCTGTTTACCACGGCAACTGGAAGCACTGGGCGCTGGGCAAGGCTACTTGATCTGTTGTCCCTAAAAATGGATCAAACCGAGGCTTCCCTTTCAACCACCTCATCAACCCGTGTCGAACATTTAATATCCGCCAAACAACTGTAGTGATGGAACTGGCTCCCATCTGTAGTGGAAACACTGAGACTTGTTTCTGAGGGCACAAACAAAAATATCGACACTCAGAAAGTCAGATTGCCCAAACTTTCCAACCCTTGATATGTCGGCAAGCTCGCAGCCTGTGGCCCTGAATTGCACCAAACAACAATGGCAAACGCATACCAGCAATAGACAAGTTGAAGAATCTAGGTACTAGAACTGGCATGAGTACGGGCTAAGGGCTCTCTCCGATGCGCGCCCCTCTTCCAATTTCAGCCCCACAGTCTTCGTACAAAGGGATCGGTGGAACAGACTTCACGTGTACCTAATAATAAAATGAACCCCATGTAATACTATGGACTATGGACTTGTTTCTGCATTTCTCTACAGGAGGCAGGGGATCTGAGTCCCATTGTGTGTGTGCGCGTTTTGTTGAGGGTACCCTGTTTGAATCAATATGAAAGCCGCCATTTTGGGGACCCATGTCTCTGCTCATATTTCGCCAAGCTGCCATGACGACATCTTCCAAAACCTGGATATCCGTACCTCGCATGAGTGTCGCGTGCGAGGGCGTCAAGAAAGTGCAGTGGGTTCCCAACGTCCCTTTAGGTTCCCCGAAGGATGGGTGGTTCAATTGGTCCACTCAAAGTTCCCATTGCATCCTCAGGATGTTTGCGTCACTAAAAAAAGGCACCATTTGTTGGTGGGTGGTTGACTCAAAAGGGAACCCCTCTCCAACAAAAACAATAAAGTTGAACAAAGGGCCCCCCCGCTGGAGGTCTGGGTCATTGAAGCAGCCAAGAGGAGCTGGACATGAAACGACCTTTCGGGACAGTCACTAACTCAAAACCACTCAGAAATCCAAGGCAATTGAATTTGGGTGGATTTGCTTTGGGCAGTTGAGCCAGAGCTCCCTCCCAGAATGATCAACCTTTCAAATTCGAGACGGTCAAACAACTGTCACAACTAGGTTCCCCTACTCCAAAAGCTTTAAAAGCCTCTTTGGAGGGTATGACGTCAACCTCCCTCGAAGCTCGAGCTGGGCGCACCGAATCTTAGCAGCACCTCGCGGAACTCCAAGTTTGCCAGCCTTGAGCCGGATATTTTTTGGATAGTTAGAATGCGTTTCTGGGGTTCAAACCAGATCTACTGAGTATAGGAAGAAACTAGTACGGATTTACCCCCTAGATTGCCCAGGGAAACAACCAAAGGTCCCCCGCCAACAGCTTAGGAAAGGTCCGGAGGGAACCTTTTTAGGGATACAAGGGTTCTGAGAAGCGTGGTGGGATATCCTACGGATGCCCACCCGGTGACCATCTTGCTAAGCAGGAGAAACCATTTACCAATTGGGTTTACCAAGTTACCACCTCCTACAACAGAAACAAGCCCGGGAACCCAAAAGCAAACCTCCCCTGTTCTCTCTGTCAGCTCGCTGAGGTGCCCTCCGCGCAGTTTCATTGAGGGAAGTCCTCGGCCACTCATTTTTGAGTGACAACCGGCAACCACAGGGGCGTTGTGTCCAAATGGGGGAGCCCCTCCCAAAAGAAAAGCGGTTTGCAGCGGAACGTCTGGGTCCTGGCCAAGTTCTGAATCAGACGAGAAGCAGAAGCCGGAACTCGCGCTTCCCAATGTGCTGGTCCTGGTTGGCATCCTCAGAGATGATTCGAGGCGCAAAGTGGGTGATTCTCTGTATCGAGTCATACCACTCTACAAATCAACGGAAGGAACCCAAGCAGGGGGAACAGAGATTTCGAGGGGGATGTGCAGCCCTCTCCATATACAGAGTTGTTCAAAAGAGGGTCTGGAAAAACAATGAAACCATGGCTTCCTGTGTAGGGCAAACCCAAAGTGAATTAGTCACACAGATTAATCAAGGGATGTGGACTGACCCAAATCGAGATCTCCAGCCCATGGCACAAGCACTTGTATTGTTGACAGCTGATTTTTGTAAGGTAAGCCTCTTCCAAAAGAAAGGAACAACAAACAGAGGGACCCCTAGGGGCGTGGCGTAACACTCGAAGATATCTTGCAGGTGCCGCTTGAGCCATCGAATCTGCGCCTGGCAGCGACGCAAGCATCCGAGCAAGATCGCGCAGAGTTTTGTTGGGTGAAAGTAAAAGGGACCCAAGCCTGCAAATGCATTAAAACGCCTCTGACTGAGGCTCCTGCTTATTGCTTTCCGTGTTATTTCCCTTTCAACCATAGGTGTCCTTTTAGGGAAATAGATGGCCTTGGTAGATGATTAAACCACCAGGTAAACCAGGGCCATCGATTTTTGTACCAAAACAACCAAAAGGACACCTATGCTTTCAACACCATCCACACGGGAGGCCGTTCACTTGCTCATTGGTGCCCCTTCACCCGTCATATTAAAAGATGATTGAATATTGACAGAGGACATGTTCTGCAACGGGCACCCCAGTGACCAACGGGTAACTTGTGGCATGGCTCCAAATGGGATATGCAACCCCCAAACATGGTCTTTGACACACATTTCCCTGGCAGGAAGTGGAGAGTGCGAGCTTCAGACGCCCCGACTGCCCGGCTGTTTGCTTCTAGCAACTCAGGTTGCTGTCACGGAGGTCAAACCGCGGCCGCGGCCGTCTTGGTTGGGGGGGTTGCGCGTGGCAACGCAGTCCAAGTTTGACAGATATACTATGCCATCGGACGCCGGAGGGTTCACGATGTGGCCCGGGGGAAAACTGTGAAATGGAACCGACATGAAACAATATTGTAGAGAGAGAGAGAGAGAGTGTCAGGCGTGAATGCTTCTAGATTGAGACGCTGTCAAATACCGTTCAAAGTTACCATTCCCGCACCAAGGCTTGGAGGGAGGAGGGGATCAGGGATGCAGGATACAGCAGGTTCAGTTTCCAATGGCTGATCTATCTAAGTGCATAAGTGTTCTCAAAGATTGAGGAACCCACGCCATGCGCCTCTTCCTTTTCGGTGTCGGACACTTTGTTGATCACCTGCACAATTCGCACGTCAAAAGCGAATCTCTCTCGCTCACTCTCCCTCTCTCTGATCTCTCTTTCTCGTCGCTAGCTCCTCCCTCCCTATGTCTCTGTCTGTATGTCCCTCTACTCCTGTCTCTACCCCGCCTCTCTCTCTCTCGCTCTCTCGCTCTGTCTCTCTTCCTTCGGTTTCTCTCCTCCCCGTCTCTCTCCCTACGTTTGCAACCTGTCAAACCGTAGCATGGCCGAACCATGCCAAGAGAAACAGGCGAGTGACCCGGAGAATTCCGGGCAGCGGCCACTGGCGGCCACTAATTACTAGGCCGCGTCTGTCTGGGAATGCAGGGGCCACAAACCCAGTACTCGCTGCGTGCAAACTCGGAGCCTGTTTCGCAGCACCAAGCCCGCAAAAAGCAAAACCCTGCAGAAGATGCAAACAAGACCCATGTCTTTCATACATGCCCCGGTTTCGTGTACTAAACAAAGGCAGCCTAGCAAACCAAGAACTAGGGAACCGTTTGGGGACGGGTTGAAGAGGAAACCAACATGACACCAACCAATTGGCAGGGTGCTGGTGTTGACAACTACCTGTATCAGGCATCTTTGGATTGATTGCTTTTAGGGGTGGTACGGGCTTGAGGATTTTGATCAAATTCAGCTTTTCACAATTTTCAACACCGAGCCCAAACACCCCACATGGCCAGGTTGTGTGTTTGTCACTTTTGTTGGGGCTGGATTTGTTCTTCCTTCTTGCTTCCTAGGTCCTAGTGCTCTTCAAACGGCCTCCCCGAGGTAGGACTCGAAGCCACCGCGGAAAAAAGGGCACACAAAGAGGGGACACCCAAAAAAATAAGAAAGAAGAACAAACTTAAACTGGGCAGCAGTGGGCAGCTGTGAAAAGTCGGAAAAAAAGATCAGGGGACCCTAGACAGGGCTCCCTTTCCCCTCCAAACATCAGCCTTACCAAGAGAAGCTCACCTTAAACGGGCCAAACAAATGATGTATAAAACCACTAAACAGGGAAATATAGGGCCCCTGATCTTGGTTTGGATTGTGAGGCTTCTTTGCCAGCCCTTGCAGGCCCATGTGCAAACTACGCAGACCTATTCAGAATTGGTTTTGTCCTCAAAATCATGGCGAACCGTCACTTCATCCGGGCGAATGTCTATATATTTCCCAAACCGGCAAAAAGCCCCCCCCCCCCGCCCCCACAAAGGGACCTTCATCATGGGTTTTCACTTCATAGCATGGCTGCTTGCGATGAAGCTGCAAACAATCCACCATCAACAGATCTGTAGTACCCATGCAACCCCTGAAGTCCTTGCGGTTTTCCCATGGGTTCACATGCGGTCACCTCGCGTCTTCCTGTGACGTTTCCTCTTCCCAGAGTTTGACGCATGTCAAGAACTTTGTTTCAGTGGTTTCCCACGAACAAACAACTTGCCCGTTTTCGGCTGGTTGACTGGTTGACTAACAAAACTAACAACCCACACAAGGTCCACAAGCGGCCCGCTGGGGCACCATGGATGCAGCCCAAAAAGGTAGGGGGGTCCAAAAAAGCCGGGCCTCGCAAAGGATACCGATCAGCATGTTCAGGACCTGGGTGCGAGTGGCTCACTTTTCTTTGACCTGATGTGAATGCCAAATCCACCAGTGGATCTACCTAAGCAGGCGCGCTGCATTTGCCCGGACCTGCAATGGTTTGAAACAAAAAAGAACCAGCTCCATAAACTAAAACAAACAGTGTGACGCGAGCTCTGATAATTTGCCACAGGAACGATTGGGCGAAAATTACCAGACACCATTTCGAAGGAGCCTTCATTGTGGTGCCCGAGGTCGCAAAATCAAGCTGGCAGGTAAGGTCGCACGAATCTGCGCAGGCATAAGAATTTGGATCCAGCCTTACAAAGCCCTAGCTGAGATCCTGACAGACCTCTGTGGGTCCGCCAAGTGACACAGCAACCTGAATGGATGAAAACCCATTGCTAGCTTCATGTTTTATTTATATGGGAGGATATCAAGATTGGGGAAGAAAACCTAAAAATGCGTGGTGTCAGGCTTCCCTGTAAAACAATGTCCCCAAAAAGACCCAACGTGTTTTGAGAAATACCGAGTTTGGTCAAAACGTACTGTGTAACATAGCGACCCCGCTTGGCGGGCCTACGACATGTTCCTGACAAAGGGGGTTCTCAAAGGGCCACAACCAGTTGTTCCTTGTGGACCTCACAGATGTGTTGGACAAAGTCGCATATCTGGTAAGACCAAACAGAAGACCAAGCAGCTCACTTTCCCAATCAATGTTGATGAATCAACACTCCCTTGCAACCCACGTTGACAGCCCCATGAATTTGTCAACTGCATTGATTTACGGACGATGTTTGAAGGTTCCCTCGCCGCCTTCGTCTTCTTCTTCTTCTTCTTCTTCTTCTTCGTGGGGCTCCAGGCTGGTCCGATTGCCAACCTTTTAAGTTTAACATACCTCCAAGAGAAAGCCTTCACAGGGGTCCCTTTGTGGGAACGCGGTGCCATTGTACGCCGCCTTTGAAGGCCTAAAAAGGGACCCACAAGTTTGACAACCCAACCAAACAGGTACAAAGTCAATCTTGGCTAACCCGTTCATTCTATACACGAAGGCATTCTGGAATGACCACTGTTCCAGAGCCACCCAGCGTTGTTGTTCTCGAAAGTAGCTCAGAAGCGGTAAACACATTGGTTTTCTTTTGTTTCTGCTTAAAAAACGTGTCAACAGATGTGCATTTCCCGACACCCCCCAACAAGGAACCCGTGGCTCACCATCAGTGAGCCACACAGTTCCAGATTCACCGCCAAAGTGCCGTCCACGCGCTGATGGCGATGCACAGCAAAAAGACAAGCGCCTCAGACATGAAAAAGACCACCTTGATCAGTCCAACAGATTTTGACACAAATCCTTGCCACAGCCGGCACTGAGCCAATTCCAGCTCATGGTCATGGCTTCTTGTAGAGTCCGTACAAATGGCTGTTGACCTAATGAAAGGATCCGCAAACCACATCTAACTCAAACTCCTCAGGGCAAACGGACGATCTTCCAGTCGGAAATGAAACCAATCTAGCCTATGGAGGGAGCCTATGCCCATAGTGGACCTAATCTGACTGTTCCCCTGGATGAACGTTGGGTCGGAAGGGGTCCCTAGGTTCCTCCTTAGGGGCTGCATGGACCTGAGGATCAGGCCATGATCCTGCCGAGATGCTTCTCGATCTCCTGAGAGACGACACGCGTCGGTGGAAATACGACATGGTATCGTGCCGAGAGGGTCTACAAGGAGAATGGAAGGTACATGACCGCTAGAAAAAAGGGGTGTATCTCGTGTGTCGCCAATGGAAACACAATGGAAAACACAATTGGAAACCCAGAAATCCATGAACCTCTGAATGATGGGCTGCTCTAGTTCAAGGGATCAAGAGGGCATTCTGTACTTTCGAAGAACAACCACCCTTGTAAACTGCCAGGTTGATTCATGGGTCCACATTAAACCCGAACCCATAAGCACTCCAAGAAATAAGCACCCGGGTCAGAACCAAAGCCCCGGTGTGATTACCATGTACCGCAAAACAGTCAAAAGGAGTGACAAGGGCGCTTCTCAAAATAGTGGATTTTCTTTTGGTTGGTATTCAGCAGGAAACCCACCATGCTTGGGTACCCCGATTTTGAGAAACACTCACAAGGGCCAGTGGCCTACGGGTGGAATGGCTAAACACCACCCTGGTTTGATGTTGGATCATCTTTGCAGGCGAAACAGCAAGCACTGGTCATAAGTCACACGTCCGCACTTCTTTGTTCCGCTTGTGGTTGAAGACGGCGGACCCTTACTCGCACTTTTGCAGGTTTTACGGCCGCTCGATTCATAACTCCCTGATTCTAGAAAAACAAGTAGAGCCACCAGCACCTACCAAGAACAGGCAGTTGCCCACCCTGCAGCAAAAACAGTAGAACCCTTGCTGTTCGGCATGCTAAAAAGCACAACTAGCTGGTGTGCAGTAGGGAATGCAACCAAGGTGAACAAAACCTTCTGGTTCCTTTCCCGAGCTTTCCCAAAGCCATTTTGATACCGCAAGCACCAGCAAAATGATAGGTAAGGCGTTGAAACCACGAAGTCGGCGGATTGCAGCTGAGCGGCCAGGTATACCTGCAGCTAAGCCATGAACAATTCGAGAAGGCGAGTGCGAAATTCGTCAAGTTGCACTTCTGCGGAACGAAGACCAAATATGAGCAACGAGCAAAACCTGGAAGGTCCCAAATGGCCAAAGCCTGGTGGGGCCAAAAGTTTTTTGGCAACCCCCCATTGAAGTGGATTCTAGCATTCGGAAAGAGACATGCCCATATTTGCGGTGAACAATTGCTTGTTGCCCAAGAGGACCTGATTTCAACATTGAGCCGCAATCCGAATCAGGGTCATGAAGGTTTGTAAAAGACAGTCAGCCATAAACAGGTGCGGCTTGCCTCTCTGATTCTTTATGATTCTTTACATGATTTTGGCTGGCCCTTTAATACGTGTGTCAAACCGGCTCTGCAGGATAGATGATCTTCCCAGTGGATGAAGCCCCCAAAAGACCGCAAGTAGGAACGTGGGGTGTTGGCCCCCACAAACTACCAATTGCACAATTTCAAGTCTCCAGCTGTATTTTCTTCAGCTACCTTCTTGCTTACTGACCATGGTGCCTGGGATTGCTTTGCAGAGCTTGTCAAACATCTGCAAGCAACGGTCAAGGGAATCCGCCGCCTTAACATCCTCTATGGTTGATTTGTTTACATACGGCCCATTCCTTCTTTCACCCACGAAGAGCTTACAGAATCCCAAATTCGACACAATATGGGTGTGTCGTTTTTAGGGGCCCGCCAAACTAGTGGCTCTCGTTTGGTTTCCGTTTAAAAGCACAAAACAAGGGTACACTCAACCTCCGAAAAGACACGCCCGAATGGCGGCCTTCACTTTCCAGCTAGAAAGAGGCTCACGAAAGGATCTGAACAAAGGCATCCCCAACCCTCAGGTAGGAATCCTGCCAGGAAACAACATACTTACCAAGCAGCCTCTGCAGGTCCGTCCAGCAGAGTGGCATACATCAGCAATGACCTTGGCACTCAAGTTCGTCGGTAAAGGGCACTCGCTACTATATCTCACAGCAAAACCAAAAGGCAACTCAACTCAAGAAGCAGATTGTCATCCATGCCAATAAGTTCAAAATTCATAGCACTGCTTTACGTGGCTGAAACCCCTATTCCAGATGACCCAGCTCAAGAAACATCTTCGACTCTGACCGGGCGCGCTTGCAGACCAAGAGGCCACATGGAGTGCGACAACGTGGAGAAGAACCTCTCCGAGATCACTGGATGCTCTGCCGCCTGACACGAGACCGGTACACCAAAAGCACCGCTCCGCATCCGTGGAACCCAAAAACACGCCAAAGTTGGAGTGATCTCCTTTCGGGGGGGGGCCCTCTTTTGGGCTAATGTGAATTTGCAGAGGTAGCATGTTCAAACTCAAATGTATATTTAGGCCAAGTGATTGCCCTAAAGTGTATGCAAGCTAACCAAACGGCACCACACACAAGCACGCGATAACTCTTTTATCCGAGCAGTGTGTTGGTGCCAGGGACTCATCTTCCCCTGTCAGATGTCAAAGGCTGGGTGGGCCCCATGGGCCACCCAACTCACAATCTCAAAAACTGAAGAACGGGTGTGCAGACTGATAGCGCCCGCCCCTGAGCCGGGGCCCGGGGCACCCAGGCCACAGGGGGGTCTGCCACCAGGGGAAGTGAGTCACCCACCGGCTCCGGTCACGGGAGCATGGGTGGGCCCACGCTAAGATCAAATGCATCTCCATTCAGGAGACGCGGGAGAAAAACGAACTCCTCGCAGAGTTCCTGCTTGGGGACCCTTTGCAAAGGGTCGAACCCAGAGAAATCTGGGTGCGTCAGCTCATCAGCCCATTGATTGAATTCACGGGGCACGTGGTTGGCCGCCAGCGAGCAGCCATGGGTGTGGAGCAGGAAGACCAGCTCCATCAGGATCGCCGCCGTGTAGGGCTTCTTGGATCCAAGGTTGAGCCAGCCAGAAGCCAAGCCAAACCAGCCAGAAAGCCAGCCAGAAGCCAACCAAAAAAGCCAGCCAGGGTTTCCTTTGACGGCGCTCGCCTTGCAGAAACAAAGGCAGCTGCTGGGCATTTTGCCAAACCGCATATCTAGGGGTCATTATTTTGCAGCCACACGCCTGCACGCAGCGTTTTAGACTTCGAATCCTTCGCAGGACGAGGTCAAATGCTGGACGGACGAGTGCCAGGAGCCTCTCAGGTAGAATAGAATCCATTTGGGAAACCCCCTCTAAAGAGAGAGGTGCTATGTTCTGTGTTCGCGCTTTCGCGCGGCGCAGTCTGCAGCTGTCGCTGCAGTCGCTGCGCAGTTCGCGCAGTTCGCGTCTGCGGAACTCCACGCGGAACTCCACGCGGGCAGCAACCAAAAAATGGTTGGTGCCTGTTTCCAGCCGCGCCTGACACGCCAGCCCGCCGAGTCATACGGATCATACGGATCATACGGTCATACGGTCATACGGCGGCTTGGCACTGCGCCACATTCCTGCCGCGCCACCTGCCTGGCATAGAAGCCTCCCGGCCGCGCCACCTGCCCGGCATCGGAGCCGAGGGATTCCTTGACATTGGTGGCAATGTCACAAATGCGAGGTTCCCAGGACAGCGTGGAGGATCATCGTCTGATCTCGCGGACACCCCGGCCGCGCTACCTGCCCGGCATAGAGGCCTCCCGGCCGCGCCACTTGCCCGGCATAGAAGCCTCCGCCCTCCTGCCCGGCATCGGAGCCAGCCACCTTGTTGTCCCGGGCACCGAATTCCTTCAACATGTCGGATTGACATGTTGAAATTCTCGTCATTCTTCATTGCAGACCAAGTGCGAGAAGCATTCGCCTGACCCGGCCGCGCCACCTGCCCGGCATAGAAGCCAGCCTGCCGCAACTCTCGCCTGGAACGAACCCACTTCGAAAAGCACAAGTGCCACTTGTGCTTTCGAGCTGTCGAAATTTTCAAGGGTACTCCTCCACGTGGATCTGCTCGTGGAACCAGTACACCTCCTTCTTTTCCGGCTCCACTTTGTTGGAGCACCAACCTCCCACAAATGCCAGTCCTTCGTCCGAGGCGCTAGCATCGCTGCAACCCCACCAAGAGGACTTCGGCAAGTAAGGGGAGTACTGGACGAAAGGCGTGTTGAAGAGGAACCGCAGCATGAACGCCAGCATCCTGACCACCTTGGGGCGTTTCCCCACCGTGGTGGTGGCCATTTTCCAGGCCCAAAGTGGCTGGAGCATCGACTTCGCCAGCGGACATGCAGCCGTCGCCCATTGGATGCGACCCAGGGCCTTCTCGATGTCCTTTGAGTGCATCGCCTGCCCTTCCACCATGGTCTGCAAAACCTCCATAACCAGGATGTGTTTGTTGGCGGCCATGAGAACCTGCGGGATGTTCGGGTGGACCACGAAACCCAGCCACGTGTTAACCTCCGCCAAATGCGTCTTCTTCCAGCTAAGCGGGGTGCCCAAGGCCAGGAGTGTTGCCAGCAGCGCCACCGCCAAGTTTACTGCCCCCTCGCTTCGAAGCAGCCACAGGAAGTCATCGACAAAGACGAAGTTCCAATCCACTTGAGGGAAAAGTGCGTAGAGGACCCTGAGTAGAAGGGCTGCCAGGCGTCCCCAGTAGGATTGGGCACTGGCCATGCCATATGTGCCTACCTTGTTCACCCACCATTCTTCCCCCAGTGAGGCCACCTGAAACCGCCAGTCCTTCCTGAAAACCTTCACTCTCCGGTGGGCCTTGGTGACGTCCGCCTTGAGCAGCACCCACCTGGTGCCCGGCTCCGGCCACAGCCAGCCCCCAGGTGGAGGTTTGACGACCCCCCTCTCGGGGCCAGGGGCACCCTGAGAGGGGGGTCCCTCCGCAGCTGCCGCATGTAGCCAATGAAGAGCTTGGACCCCATCCAGCACCGTCGGAGCCGTCGTCCTTTCCACCGTCTGGTTCCTGATGGTGTCATTGGCCCCGCCCACCGAGCCATCGTAGATGGTGCGGATCTTGTCCCCCTCGTCGATGCCCGCTAGGGGGCCGGGACAAAGGTCCTCGATTTCGCAGCCACAGCGCGATGCTGCCTCCACCTTAGTGAAGGGGCCCTCTACCATGCCCATGGGGACCTCCTCCAGGAATGTGCCCCGGATGAGCTCGCTGAAGTGATCCGCCGAGGGGTAGTTACCCCTGCCTGTTGGGTGAGGGAGACTCCGGCTCCTCCCCTTTCAGCTCCTTCTTGAGTGGCCAGATGCCCGGCGAGGTCAGGGGTGGGTCCGTGACCCCCAATGGGACCCCTTGCTCCAGATCCCGGGGAAACTGGTGGTCGGGGTCCTGAATGTTCAGTGCCACGCTGTGCAAGATGTCCAGGAAGAAGGGTTGGCCGTCAGCTGGTCGGCCTGCCCCTGGCGCCAGAATCTCCCTGATATCCTCCAGCAGGTCCTCCGGGAAGGGATGTGACCCATCCCCCAACGAGAGCGATTCCTGGAGCTTGTCCCCCCATGGCGAAGAGATCTTGGCCCCCATCGCTGCTGCTTTGGACAGTGGCCGGGTCCATGGGGCCAACCGTCCCAATGAGGGCTTTCCCCCTCCGTCCCTTAGGGGGCGCTGTTTGAAGGCCATCTGGAGGTACATGACCTTGTCGGAGAGATTGGGGTCGTGCGTGATCGGCAGGATGGTGGGCCGATCCGAGATTTCCATGCCATGGTGTGCCCATGGCTCAGGGGAAAGAGTTCCCCCCCCAAGTTCGTCCGTCTCGCCAGTCCTCTGTGGCGGTGTCCGGACCTCCGGATTGTCCGAGGCCGAGACCGGAAGTGAGCCCAAGGTTAGTCCTGCCAACGCTTGTTGGCCAGCCTTCAGCCTCCGGGACTGGCGCTTGTTGTCCCCCGGCGTGCTGGGAGAAGGTTCCCTCTGCCGCCTCGGGGGGGTCGTTGGGTTCGCCTGGGGCGCCGTGCCCCCCGGCCTCAGCGCCTCCAGGACGGGTCCCGCTCGGCAAAGGATGGCCGCTGCGAGACCCTGCATCATCTGCTCTGGGTACCGGCTGAGGTCACTGGAGTTGAGCTTTTCCCCCCTGGGGTGAGCCCCGTGGTTGCAACGCAGATCATGCCAATGGTGAAGGGGAAGGTCCGTTGACAATGTCGTGGACTTCACAACCACCTGGCCCAGGCGGCACTCGTCAAACTTGATGAGGGAGTGGTGGAGTGCGCTCGCCCATTGAATGTAGGCCCGTGTGACCCAGATCGATGAGCACCTCGCTGCGCTCGGGCTCTTGCTGCACACCATTGGGTCCATTGGGTGCTCCAAGAAGGAGGAGCCCACCTGCGGGACCGTTAGCTGACCTACTCCATAACCCGGGGCTCCAGGTCCTCTAAGCCCCACAGGGTCTGCCCCTCACCGGCGGCGGGCCCCCCGGTTTGGGAAAGCATCTGAGGAGCTCCACGTCCTGCAGTTGGGGCCGCCCCCCACCAAGGCGACCTTGCCCGCCATGGCCATGGAGCACATCGTAGAGTAAGGCTCCTCTCCCAGCATGTCCTGACCAAGGTCTCCACCCTTTCGCCTGATGTCCACCGCCCAAATGTACTCCGAGAAGGCCGGGTTGTAGGCATGGAGGTAAGCATCCAGGGCCCCCGCATCATCCTTCCCAGCGTACAGCAGGATGAGGGACGGCTTTGACAACTCCGGCACCGGACGTGGCGTCCACCTCAGTCTGAGCCTCAGTCTTTCCGGGATGTCCTGCATCCATGGAAAGGTGGGGCTTGCCCCCCCTAGGGATTCCGTGTGTCCTTTGTCTGACCCTCCCGTCATCTGTCCCTGGGCTTGCTGCTTGCCCTGGCGGTTCTTCCTGCCCTTGGAACGGCCCTTGCCGGGCGGATCCTCACCTCTGGGTCTCTCTGGGGGGTCTTCCCACTGCCTCGGTGGGTGCGGGGGAAAGGGATGCTTCCGCCCTTCTGGAGTGCCCTGGCTGGGACCGCTCCTCTTCCTCGGTGGAGGGGCTTCCGGGGCCGGTGGCACCCTGGAGAAGTCCCCTCCCACCTGAGGCCGTCCTGGCCTCCCCCGCTCTGTCTGCCTTCCGCTGTGGCTCTGCTGTGGGGTTGGCTCTCCCCCTCTGTGTGCACTCTCGCACTGGTGGCCTGTGGTCCCAACTGAGACCGGGAAGCCACGGGGCCTATGGCACCCTGAGTGGCCTCCTGTCACTTGGGAAGGTGAGGGCATGCCTGTGGCACATGCTTCGATGGGGGGGCATCGCACACCCACCCATCCTTCCTGACCGGGCAGTTGTGGGATC